AGTAGGGACATACAGGAAAACATTACATAACATTATACACATAGGGCTCAGTAACCTTTGTGGAGATAGGGTTTCACTATGTAGCCCTCAAAACAGTAATTACTAAAGGTCAGTGCCCCAGTGGGAACACATGCCTCTCAGTGCGTGTGTGTGTGTGTGTGTGTGTGTGTGTGTGTGTGTGTGTGTGTGTGTGTGTTTGTAGGATGACACTTTCTACTTTGCTGAGACAGAGTCTTTCACTGATTGTAGAGTTCACTGTTTCAACTGGAATGACTGCCAGCAAGCCCCTGGGACCTGCCTGCCTCTGCTCCTCAGCACTTGAGGATAGAGACATGTGATTCCATTCATGGCTTCTTGTGTGGATGCTGGCAATCCAAACTCAGGTCCTCATGCTTACACAGTAAGCACCAAGTCAAAACCTCACATACCTAGTCATTTCCCTAAGTCCTTAAATGAGATTTTTCTTATCTTTGTTGACTATAAACACTTTTTCTAACATTCCTTATAATCCTAGAACATGGTAGGATTTCTTTTAAAAAACACAAACACTTAAGAGCTGGACAGATGACTCAACAATTAAGAATTTTTGCAGTTCTTGCAGGGGAACCAAGTTTGAATTTTTTTCCATAGGCTTGCAACTGCCTGTAACTCCAATTCTAAGGAATAGAACATCCCTAGCCTCTTCCTGTATTTATGTGTATATACTCACAGACAGACAGACGTACGGATGGATGGAGGGACACACACACAAATTAAATTGCAAGCTGGATGGTGGTGGCACACACCTTTAATCTAGCACTTGGGAGGCAGGGACAGGTGGATCTCCGAGTTCAAGGCCTGCATGGTCTAAAGATCAAGTTTCAGGACAGCCAGGGCTATACAGAGAAACACTGTCTCAAAAAAAAAAAAAACAAAACAAAACAAAAGCTGGGGGGCATTGGTGGCTCACGCCTTTAAATCCCAGCACTAGGGAGACAGAGGCAGGCAGATCTCTGTGAGTTGGAGGCCAGCCTGGTCTACAGAGCTGGTTCCAGGACAGCCTCCAAAACAATACAGAGAAACCCTGTCTTGAAAAACCAAAAAAACAAAACAAAACAAAACATTAAATTGCATTTACCCAAGATAATGATTCAAAACCTGAGACACTTCAAACTGGCACGTGTATAGTGCCCTCCAGCCCTGTCCACACATACACAGACTGCACGTCTGTAGCGCCCTCCAGCTCTGTCCACACGTATACAAGATTAAACAGATTCTTTTATTAATCTCCCTCTTTCTCAGTGGCACCACAACTTTCCCAATATGAAACTCAAAATGATTTTAGTTTTTAACTTTACTCTCTTGCTTTCTGTATTCAACATTCTTATCAAGTCTTTGTTTACAACACCCTTCCCATCTCTTCCTCTTTCCTCAAAGTTCTGCTGATAACAATTCTGGTCCTTATTACTTCAGACCTGAAGTGCCCAAACTGGTCTATCAGCCACCATTGTGCTTTTGAAATCCATATGCTACCATCTTCCTAAAATACTCTTTTCATCTTTTCCCCACTAAAATAGTATACTAGTCATTGCCAGGGCTCAGTCATCTTTAACAGTAATTACTGTGCACAAAACAACCTCATATATGCTTAATGAACTGTTTATTGAATAAATATATAAAAAATGTGACTCTCCTTAAAATGTTCAATTTCAGCCGGGCGTTGGTGGTGCACGCCTTTAATCCCAGCACTTGGGAGGCAGAGGTAGGTGGATCTCTGTGAGTTCGAGGCCAGCCTGGTCTACAAGAGCTAGTTCCAGGACAGCCTCCAAAGCCACAGAGAAACCCTGTCTCGAAAAACCAAAAAAAAAAAAAAAAAAAAAGAAAGTTCAATTTCTCCCTATCTACAACAGAAGTTACAAGCTCAAATGCAGAGACCATAAAGGAAATGTAATGTGTAAAAATATATGTAAAACCACAGGGTGTGATGGGGATTGTGGCGGATGGGAGAGCACACATTCACTAGCGGGGCAGCTTCTTTGCTATTCCCACTGATCGGTACAACAGTGGAACACAGCCCCGTATTTCTATTCCATCCGACTGTGAAGACAAGCCAGGTCAGAGAGAAGGCTCACTTCAGTCCGTGCTGCCGTGTCTGACAACCTGAGTCTGATCCCCAGGCACCACATGGTAGGATGAAAGAACAGAATCCTCAAGCTATCTCCTGACTGCCACACCCACCACCCCTCCTACATAAGTAAATGCCATTTTTAAAGGATAATCTAAAAGCACAGATTTATGAAACTTGCTGGTTTTTAAATGGTGACAACTAATTCCTCTTTAAAATCTAAAATTATCACTATTCCCCTCAGCAATTCACCCACCAACCAATCAACCAGGTTATATAAGTTAAAGCAAACACATTTATGGACTAAGTCTAACCCTCAAGTCCCAAGTTGTTATCTCTAATATGCAGAATAAAGAACAAACTCCAGTCTTTCTAGTTTCCTTTTCATTGGTTTTATTTATGTGAGACAGGGTCTCTCTGGACCAGAATGTCCTTGAACTCAGAGATTCACTCTCCTCTACCTCCTAAGTGCTGGGATTGCAGCTGTGTGCCACGGCACCTGGCTTACACTACTGCCAGCAGTTTTCCCCCATGTGGAGGGGAATATGTGCACGTTACTGAGTATGGAGGTAGAGGATAACTTGCGGAGTAGGGTAACTCTCTACCACACGCATTTTTTGAGGCAGAGTCTCATGTCGCCTAGCCTGTCTTCATTTTTCACTTTAATATGTAACAGAAGATAATCTCGAACTGCTGATCTTCCTACCTCTGTCCCCGAAATGCTAGGATTACCAGAACATGACACTGCAGCTTCTAAGTCCTTTACTTTGAGTTACTAGGCTACCTTTCCAGAATGTTTTGCCTACATCCAGACAACAACCCACTGTTGTCCTCCAGTGGTTCTCAAACTGTCAGGTCATTTTAACAACCTGGCAACTGGGTATAAGTAGCACATGGCTGTAATCTTAGCACCTGGGAGGCTGAAACAGGAGAACCAAAACTTTAAGGTTGCCTGGGCTACATAATGACTTTGAGGCACAGCAAGACGTTGTTGCAAACACATCCACATCCACACACATACCACAAACACCAAAACCTACCCACCCACCCTCCCTCCCCCCCTCACTTCCTTTCCTTCTTTCTTCCCAAACCTCCACTCCCCTCTCTTTTGGAAACAGGATCTCACTACGTGGCCTTGGCTATACTGGACTCACTATGCAGACCAGATTGGCCTTGAACTCATAAAGATGCACCTGCCTCCCTAGTGCTGAGATTAAAGAAAGATATGCACTACCACACCTACCCAGGGATAGTTTTCTTAAAGAATGGACTTTCAGTTTAGGTTCATAGTTGTGTTTGGAGAAATAATAAAAATACAATATTTTGGAGGCTGGAGAGATGGCTCAGAGGTTAAGAGTACTGGTTGCTCTTTCAGAGGACTTGAGTTCAATTTCCAGAAAACACATAGTAGTTCAGAACCATCTAAAATGAGATCTGGTGCCCTCTTTTGGCATGCAGTTATACATGCAGGCAGAACACTGTATATATAATAAATAAAAGTTTTAAAAATACAATATTTTAGAAAAAGCTAACAGTTAATTAGTTAATAATATCTACAAGAATACAAGACTTAGAGGCAGACAGATCTCTGTGAGTTTGAGGCCAGGCTGGACCGACAGCCTCCAAAACAATACAGAGAAACCCTGTCTCGTAAAAACAAAAACAAAAACAAACAAACAAAAAAAGAATACAAGACTTGGAGCTGGGCATTGGTGGTGCAAGTCTTTAATACCAGCACTAGGGAGGCACAGGCAAGAAGATCTCTGTGAGTTCAAGGCCAGCCTGGTCTACAGAGCGAGTTCCAGAGTTCCAGGACAGCCTCCAAAACAATACAGAGAAATCCTGTCTTGAAAAACAAACAAAAAAAAAAGAAAACAAACAAGATTTTTGAGACAAGGTATCATGTAGTTTAGGCTGGTCTTTATCCTTGTAGCTAAGGGTGACCCTGAACTTCTGATTTTTCTGTTTCTACTTTCTAAAATCTGAGATTACAGGCATATGTTATTACACCCAGTATATGCAGTGCCAGAGATCAAACTCAGGTATTAAAGCATGGTAGGCAAGTACTCTACATCCCAATCCTAATACAACTTTTATACAAATAAAACAGTGAATTTTAATTTACCTAATTGGTAAGATTAAATTTTAATTCTTCTGGATTACTTACAGTGCTCCTGTAGGGATGTGAACTAACCACACACAAAATAATGTCCATTTAATAGAATTCTATACATACATAGACCTGAGTTCCATCCTCCAGAAACCACAATAGAATGAGAAAACCAATTCCATGTGATTTAAAAAGTAGGATAAAACTAACTCATTTCTACAATATCCAGAAACACAGATCAGTCCCTTTGGATATAGGCTTTTTTTATTCGTTTCTTGAAACAGGGTTTCTCTGTAGCTTTGGAGACTGTCCTGGAACTCTGTAGACAAGGCTGGTCTCCAGGTCACAGTGATCTACCTACCTCTGCATCCCAAGTGCTGGGATTAAAGGCGTGTGCTTTAATCCACCACCCAGCAGACATAGTTTGTATAGTAACATATTTACCCAGGATTCTAAAGGCTGCATGAAATCAAAATTAATTTTATTATCTCTGAAGTAAAATCCAGTAAAGTCACAGATCATTAATGACTGAACAGTTTTGAAAACACCTGGGGAAAATTAGGAATAATACTGATACAAAACAGTACTAAATTGAACTCATACCTGATAGTAATATAATCACTGAGAAAGAAAAAAATCTATCTTTTGGCAACAGGTGGTCATATTCAAGAATGGCATAGAGCAGACATCTCCTACCGGGAGGCAGAAGGGAGGCAGAAGCATCTGAGGTGCATATTCAGCTGTAATTTAGCAGACATGATACCTACATCTGGATAATCTACTTACCAGGATCATAATGATCCCTTCTGTTGGAACATTCAGCCAAGATACTTGTCATCTCTGTGTCAACCAAGAACTGTGAAAACGGAGCATAAAAAGTCAGCAAGTCCAAGTCAACAAAATACTAAATGACTTATGTCTTAAAAGCATTTAATGTTTCCAACAATGAAACAAAGCAAATTCATGAAACAAACTCTTTCCCTAAAACTTAAAAGTAAAGCTACCCACCAGCAATTCCAGAAAGAAGTAACAGATAAGCTTCTGAACAGAAACTCCCTACTGTACATTCTTTACTCCAGTTGCTCCTTGTCAACAGACGACTAATAAGGCATCCATTAGTATCCCAATGCTGGCAAGATGGCTCAGTGATTAAGAGTACTTGCCATGCAAACTTTGTGACCTGAGTGGGATTAAAGGTGTACACCACCACCACTGCCCGGCTTTTAAATATTTTTAAAATGTATATTCATGATGGACCACCTGGTACTGAATAACCAGTGTGGGAGGCGGGCTCTTCTCTGGGGAAGACTATTGTCTCCTGCCCTCAGCATCCCTTAGCTGCTGGTAGTTCTTTGTGTAGGTTGGGGCTTTGTGAGCTTCCCCCTGCCGTGTTAGAAAGTCTATTGGAGCTACCTTGCTCAGGTCTTGTTTAGATAGCCCTGGAATTATATACATACAAGTAACATAATATGGACTGAGCCTGTAATTATTTATTTGGGAATATATATGCACGCGCGCGTGCACACACACACACACTCACTCACTCACTCACAATAAAAAAATATATGTACCAACTGTTAAAGAAAAAGAAGCCATAAAGAGAGGGAGGGAGGAGGGAGGGAGGAGGGAGAAAGGTGGGAGGGAGGAGGGAGAAAGGCGGGAGGGAGGAGGGAGGGGGCTACATGGGACTGGCTTCAGCTGGATGGAAGAAAGGAAACGGGAAATGGATGCTATATTTTAATTTTCTTAAAAAGCAGTTTTTGTGGTATGGAGAGATGGGTCAGTGGTTAAGAACACCGGTTCCCAGTATTCACATCGAACAACAAAAATAAAAGGCAGGCTCACAATCATTTGTTATTCCAGTCCCAGAGGATGGAGCATCCTGCTCTGGCCTCTGTGGCTATGGTACATAGACATACATGTGTGGGCAAAATACCCGATCACATAAAATAAATAAGTAACTTGTAAAAAGGTGATAAGATGGGAATCAAACTTTGAAAAAACACACTTGACTAATAAAGAAGACAGACTTTACATAAGTCTGGGAGGAGGAGGAGGAGGTGGGGAAAAAAAGCAGTTTTTGCCGGGCAGTGGTGGCACAGGCCTTTAATCCCAGCACTCGGGAGGCAGAGGCAGGTGGATCTCTGTGAGTTCAAGGCCAGCCTGGAGTTCCAGGACAACCTCCAAAGCTACACAGAGAAACCCTGTCTCGAAAAACCAAAAAAAAAAAAAAAAAAAAAAAAAGCAGAGTAGAGCTGTGAAATACCAATAGGTCTAGGTAGATCTTGAAAAACTTATATATATTCATGTCATACATTTTAAGCTACAAAAATAAGTTTATAAAATAGACATGAAAAGGTAAAAATCATTTAATTTTACCATAATCTCAAAAACAGATATTTTATGCTTGATAAAATAAATTATAAAGTATTTTAAAGCACTGTGTTCTTTACCCAGTGTGGTGGTGGCCCAAGCCTTTAATTCCAACACTCTGGAGGCAGAGGCAGGCAGATCTCTTTGAGTTCAAGTCTAGCCTGATCTACATTGTGAATTCCAGGTTAGCCAGTGCTAGATATGAGTCACTGCCTTAAAAAAAAAGATTAAAAATAGAGTACTATACATATAATTAAGAAGCAATCCTTGCCAGGCATGGTGGTACACATCTGTAATTCCAGCACCTGGAGGCAAATGAAAGCAGATCTTTATGAGTTCTAGACCAGGCCAACACATATAGTGAGACCCGATATTAAAAAAGGGGGTAGGGTGGGTCTGGAGAGACAGCTCTGAGGTTAAGGGCACTGGATGCTCTTGCAGAGGACCCAGGTTTGATTCCCAGAACCCACATGTAAGTTCACTACCATCTGTAACTCCAGTTCCATTATCCTGTCTAACCTCCACAAGCACTGCAAGCACGGGGCACACAGACACACAGTTGCAAGCAGAACACTCAGATACATAAAATAAAAATAAGGGTAAAAAAAAAACAACAAAAAAGAAGCTATCTTGTTGAAGTAAAAATTTTGTATTCATGGGTTTGTCAGTAGACTTGTGTTCAATGGTAAATTTAGGACTGGCTTTTATTTTCAACCACGTTTTTGCAATGAAATCTAAATATACACCTTATGACAGAAGATGCCCTACTCCCTTTCTGCTTGCTATCCACAGGGTGTTTTATAGATTGCCTCTCAGAGGTAATGTGATTCTGCTCATGGGTCTACTGGTGTGTCACACACAAGGGAGAATGCACCAGAAATACAGTCAAAACAGATGTTAGCAGATGGTTCAAAATAGTTTTCAAGATTCTTTACCAAATCAACGTGCTAACTCTAACAGCAAAATTTACAAACTACAAAAGCCACGCCTCCACGGGTGAGGTGGGACTTTACCTTATAGTTAAAGGCGTACTAATAAGTTTTCCCTAGAGGGTGGGGGGGGAGAGCGGGTGTCTAACAATGATGTTTCAAATAAATGTTAAATGCTAATTTGAAACGGAGGATAATGCGAAACAGAGCTTTCACTCACAAGTCTCCTAACCACTGACTTGGCAGTCACAATACCTGTCTTCCTTAATGACTCACTCACTCTCACTGAATGAAGGCGTAATCACAGGGCTCCTCCTCTGAACAAACTAGAATACTGGAGTACTCCTTTTCAGGATCCGGGATGCGAGGCAAGCGCTTGCAACTTTATGCAACTTGCAGCAAAGGGACTAGACTGGGTCACCAGAGGCTGCGGGCGGAACCGGGGGGGGGGGGGGGTCGGCTGGAGCCAAGCACCTGCCACCGCAGACACGGGGGCGGACGACCCTCCCCACCCTCCCCGCCACGTAGCTCCAGGCAGGGAGCCGGAGTCGGAGCGCGCCGACCCCCGAAGGCTGACAGCCTCGCCCCAGGCACCGCCCTCGGAAAAGTCAACTGCCTCCCTGAAAGCGTTTGGCCTGGGACGTCCCCGGGTGCGCAGTCCTCTACGGAGCCCGCGAGACCGAAGCCGGGATGGAGGGGAGGGAAGCATGAGTCGCGCAGCGCGGGCGCCCCGGAGGCAGGAGCAGCGGCGCTGGAAGGACCGCCGCGGTGGCCGCGCCGGAGGCGTGGAGGAGCCGCCGGCCCGACTGGACGTGCTTCACGCCCCACAGGCGCCTCTCGGATGCGCGCGTGGCGGTCGGAGAGCCGCTGGGAAGCGAGCCTCCTGAAGCGTGAGGCCAGTCTCTTGAGGCTGGGACGCCGCGGACCCGCTCCCCGCTCCCGCCCCTCCCGGCCTCCCGGCCGGCCCCAACCCCGGGAGCGCCGCCGGGGCTCGTGCACACTCACCGCGCGCGCCGCCCCGGCGCGGACGCCAGCCTCTTCCGAGCGATCTCCGCCCCGCCCCTCGCCGCGGTCACGTCACGCGCGTACGCCCTCCGCGTGCCCTCAACGGCACGGAGGACGTTAGCCCTTCGGCGTGGTGGTTTCCTTAGAGACAGAGTCGGCCCAGGTGGCGGCCACCAGGAGACCAAGACGGTGAGACTCCTGGAGAAGTCAAAATGCCGGCAAAGGACAAGAGGAAAGGCAAGAACAAAGGCAAAGAGAAAGACAAAAAGTAAGCGCTGCGGCGCCGCGGAGCCCCCTCTCCCCGGGCCTGCCCTCGGGGCCCTGTGAGTCCAGGAACGCGCCGACTGCCTCCGCTTGCCAGGCTTTGGAGGACAACCCCTGCTGTCCATTCTTTCTTGACCCTACCCTCCGAGAAACCTCCATTATGAGACTGATGTGAACTGGTGTAGTTCTGTTCTAGCTCTAGTCTTGAGTGGTTACTTGGGCTTTTCGGGAATCCTTTTTGGATCAAAGGGAGACCACAAGAGTATTTGACCATACTGGTCAGATCTCCCCACTCCAACCCCCATCCCACACTGGTACTGCTCTAGCACTAATTCTGGGGTGCCCTGAGTTGCTGCTAGGACGTCAATAGACTCACTGGGCTACCCCCCGGAAGTCCCTCAAGACTTCGGAGGCACACATAGAGTTCAACACCACCATACGTGGGAACCGCAAAGGAATACCATAAACTTGTGATTATACAGTGAATTCTTTGGAGACAGGTTCAGTAAATGCACACCTGCCATCAGTGCTCTGGAGGCTGAGGGAAGAAGATTACAAGTTCTAGGGCAGCCTGAGTTACACAGAGAGATCTTGTATTTAAAAAAGAAGGGGAGAAAAGGGTGGGGGGCTGGTGAGATGGCTCAGTGGTTAAGAGTACTGGCTGGTCTTGCAGAGGACCGGGGTTCAATTCCCAGCACCTACATGACAGCTCATAACTGTCTGTAGCCACAGTTTCAGGGGATCTGACACGTTCACACATGGAATAAAAGTAAATAAATCATATTTAAAAGAAATGATTGTCTGGTCTGTAAGTGTAGCTCTATGATAAGAGTGCTTGCACAGGGTCCTAGGTTCCATCTCCAGCAGAGTAACTTAGAGTAAGTTCATACTCAGCACAGAAAGCTTGGGAGATATGGGAAGTACTAAAGGAGAAAGAAAATTACCTGTCATACCACCGTCCACAGTTAACCACTACCATCATTTTTTTTAGTCCCCCCCCCCCCCCCGTGTAAAATGATGGGTTAATGATTCGTAGATCCACTACCCCTACCCCAGGGATCAAACTCAGGCCCTCTCCAGATAAGCAAGTGTTCTAATCTCTGACCTCTTCTACACAGTGATCGAGTAAACAAAATACAACTTTCCAGTCTAGCACATTCTAAAAATTGCCAAGGGCTTATCACATTCTATCAACTCACAGCCATGTTTTATATTTTTGGCTCTTCTTCAGGGCATATGTGAACAAGAAAAAACAATAATATACTTTGTATTCCATGAATATTCCATGGCTCATTGTTGAGAAACCCTCCTTTGTTTTTCCAGTCACTTAGTGGGCTTTTTCTTAGAGGCATAAAATTGCTTGCATCAATTCTTGATACTCTCTGGTAGTAACTGAAGATTGAGGCAGGGCATTCTATTATAGTGTCTAAATCACACTGGAAAGGGAAAGCAAATTCTATGTTAGACTGGAGAATTGGGAATGGAGCTGCCCTGAATTTGAAGACAACAAAAGGTAGGTGTGCAAAGGGACTAAGAATTGGGAGTTGAGAGGATATGGTCGGTGACAGTGTAAGGAAGAAAGATCTACTTATATACTTTCTGGAGACTATTTAGAATCCAAACACAGGTGAAACTTTTTATGCACTTTTTACAAGCACTCTATCATAGAGCTAGTGCCTATCATAGGGTAGTGTTTTGTTAATGCTAATGCAATTTTCATTTTGAAGAACCTCACCTTTCATCAATAAGGCTTTGAATCTACCCTTTATTGATTTTTTTATGGTTCTGGGGATCAAACCTAAATAGACGCTAAACATTCATTCTACTGCTGCCAGCTTTCATCTCCAGAGCCTTACTAAGAATTTTTTCCATCTCTGAATAAATGATTATGGTGTATGTTTTTCAGGCATCCTTAAAGCTTGGTAGACTGTGGTACCAACAAAGTATTTAACATACTTGTCCAAGTAACTTGATCCTTTGTTCAAGAACTAGCCAAAACAAAACAAACAAAAGAAACTCTAGGGGTGGAGACTATAGGTACACAATCAAAAGTGTCCTCATGTAAAATGTAATCACAGGGAGAGGAGTGAACCAAGGTTCACATCTGAGTGAAATAGTGGAAAAAATTAGAAGCTGTAGCTCATTTGTAGAACACTTGCCTAGCATGCTCTAGATCAGGTCTGATACTCAGCACAGCAAAGATGAGCAAATAAAAAATACGGAACAATGACTGGCATACAAATGGACTTTGGCTGCCCATCCCACAATGAGGGATGTTCTCTCAGCCTGGACTCCTGTGGGAGGGCCTAGGCCCTGCCCTGGATGAAATGACAGACTCTGGAGATCCTCCATGGAGGGCCTCACCCTCCCTAGGGAACGGAGTGGAGATTGGGTGGGGGACTGGGGGGTCTTTTGGGGGGGAGAGGGAGAGGGAGCTGGGATTGATATGTGAAGCAAGCTTGTTTCTAATTTAAATAAAAAAAGGAAGAAGAAAAATATGGAATAATGAAATAAATAAGAAGGTATAGAGCTTTAGGAAATGCATTTGGCCTCTTATTTCCGTTGTTTCTCCAATCCTTTGAAGTCATACTCCAAAGCACTCCTCTTACATGAATACAAATGTGTGTTTCTTTTTCTGTTTGTTTGTTTCTCAAGACAGGGTTTCTCTGTTCCTTTGGAGGCTGTCCTGGAACTAACTTTTGTAGACCATGTTGGCCTCGAACTCACAGAGATCTGCCTGCCTCTGCCTCCCAAGTGCTAAATGTGTATTTCTTATTAATTCATTTTTGCAATAGTATGCACTTTATGTGCTAGGCAATGCCAAGCACAGCAAAAGAAATGGTGCTAGCAGAGTGAAGAAAGTTACATACTGCCAATGTCATCTTCTGCAGGAAAGTAGTTAAAGTAGAGGACCATGTGATTGAACAAGCCAAGGCCAATGCCTCTCTTTGGGAGGCCAGACTGGAAGTCACAGAACTCTCTAGGATTGAATATCGTGATACTTCCCGAAGACTGGCAAAACACAATGAAGACTTAAAGAAACAGCAGTATAAACTGGAAAAAGACACTATGTCTGTATTAAGCTACTTGAAGAAGCAGGATCAGGAGAAAGATAATATGGTAGGTAGGTAGAAAACAACCTCATAACCTCCCTCTGTATTTATGTGACATGGTTATATTTTTTGGAGTTTTGTTTTGTTTTTTGAGATAGTCTATCTAGCCTGGGCTGTCCTCAAACTCCCAGGCATCTATTTGCGTCTGCCTTTAAATACTGGGATTTTATTTTAAAAGATTATAAGACCTTGAAATCTCATCACATGGTTAACTTTTAACTCTTCTTGAAGAAAGCTGTTATTTCAGAATAGATTTGCTATCATTGGCTCTTTCTTCCTTTCTTTCTCTCTTTTAGCATTATTTACATTAACAGAGATGAAAGCAACTTAAAAATAGTACTGGAGTGATGACTTAGCAGGTAAGAATGTGTCCTGTTCTTCAGAGGACCTCAGTTTGGTTTCCAGCACCCACATCAGGCAGCTCACAACTGCCTGTACCTCCAGCTTCAGGGAGATCTGATACTTCTTGACCACCACACATGGCCATATTCAGACACAACACATAATTTAGAAAAAAAACTAAAAAAAAACCCTGACAACTTAAAAACCTATTAAAAATAAATGGATAGAGAAAATCAAATGAGGCTGGGTGTGGCTGCACACATTTTAATCCAAGCACTCCTGGGAGGCAGGTAGACCTCTGCGTGTTTGAGACTAGCCTGGCAACAAACCCAGTTCCAGGACAGCCAGGTCCACACAGAGAAACCTTGTCTCTACTCTCCCATCACTCCTCCCCAACGAGAAGTGTTTACATATCTATGGACAATTGTATAGCCTTTTTTTTTTTTGGTTTTGTTTTGTTTTTCAAGACAAGGTTTCTCTGTGGCTTTGGAAGCTGTCCTGGAACTAGCTCTTGTAGACCAGGCTAGTCTCGAATTCACAGAGATCTGCCTGCCTCTGCCTCCTGAGTGCTGGTATTAAAGGCATGTGCCACCACCACCTGGCAACAATTATATAGACTTAAAAAAAAACCCATGTAGCATGCTACAGTGTAGTAAACCTCAAGGATGTTATGTTATATGATATAAGCCAGTCACAAGAGGTCAAATGCTGTATGACTCAGTCATCTGAAACATACAAAGGGTTCAACTTCACAGAAACACAGTAAAAAGTGATTGCCAGAGGCACAGAGGAGAGGAAAAGGAGAACTGCAAAATGAAAAAATTGTAGAAATCTTTTAGGTAACAATATGAACAAACTTAGCACCCTAACCTGAACATTTAAAAATGGTTGACAGAGCCTAGCAGTGGTTACTCCCAGCACTCATGAGGCAGAGGCAGGTGAATATGAGTTCAAGGGCAGCCTGGTCTATACAGTGAGATCCAAGACAGCCAGCACTACCCAGTGAAACCCTGTCTCACAAAAATCAAATTTTAAAAAATGTTGACAGTAAATTTAATGTAGTGGTTTTGTGTGTGCCTGAGCATCGCATTCATGCAGGAGCCTGCATTGAGGCCAGAAGATATTAGATCACCTGGAACTGGAGTTATATGAAGCTGTGAGCTGCCCCGTAGGTGCTAGGAATTGAGTTTGAGTCCTCTGCAAGAGCAGTAAACACTCTGAACAACTGAGTCATTTCTCCAGCCCAATACTGTCTGTTTTACAACAATTAAAAATTATCCACATAATTCTGATGATAGCTAGATCTTAGGAATTGTCAATAGCAGATCAAGTATACAAGGAAAACCCTGTCCCCTCCTTCACTGTCTTTCCTGGTTACTGGCTTTAGTATTATATAAAATAAAAAGCATATGACTAAAAATAGGATACAAAGTAATTCTATGTCATCCTTACTCTGGCAATTTATCTTCTATAGATAGAAAAACTGAAACAGCAATTGGTTGAAACAAAGGAAAAAGCCAAAGAAGAGAAAGAAAAATTGGTGAGTACTAAGTTTACCTATTAGGGAATCAGATTTCTAGTGAATTTGGTTATTTTAGGCCCAAGAAGAATAAGGAAACCTGGGTGGTTCTGGTGATGTATGCCTTTAATCCCAGCATTCAGGAGGCAAAGGCAGATGGATCTCTGTGAGTTCAAGGCCAGCCTGGTCTACAGAGCGAGTTCCAGGACAGCCTCCAAAGTCACAGAGAAACCCTGTCTCAGAAAAAAAAATGTGTTGCCAACTAACACAAAAGCTTTGAGTTCTAGAGGTGTCTTATTTGGTTTGAATTTTATTTATTTGCTACTGGGGACTGAACCCAGGGTTTCACATACTAACCATACATGCTACTCTATGAACTACATAGACAAAACAATTTCCTGAATTTGTTTCTTATTTAAAGCTGTTGGCATCATTTTACAGAAATTAAAATTTTATGCAAAAATTATAACTATGCAAAACAAAGATGGGAGAGTTGTTTCAAGAAGATACACAAATGGCTCAGACTTCAGATAAAGCATGGTTCTATGGAACGCTTGTCTTTCCTTACTCACTGCTCTTTTGAATACAGGAACAAAAGTATACCGTGCAGATAAATGAATTGGAGGGACAGTTTTATCAAAAAGCCAAAGAAATTGGCATGATTCAGACTGAGCTAAAGACAATGAAACAATTCCAGAAGAGAAAAATTGAAGTGGAAAAAGAATTAGATGAGGTAAGTTTCTTTCAATGTCTTCTTTTTAAAGAAAGATTTGTTTTATGTGTATGCATGTTTTGCCTGCATGTGTGTAGGTACACTGAGTGCATCCCTAGTGCTGGAGGAGACCAGAAAAGGATGCTGGATTCCCCTGAACTAGATGACTGACGGTTATGAGCCAGTACATGGGTGCTAGGAAGTAAACCCAGGTCCTCTGTAAAGGCAGTAAGTGCTCTTAACCACTGAACTATCTCCCCAGTCTCTCTTTAAGGAGATTCCATTAGCAACTTAAACTCCCTTCTCCCCCCCACAAAAGTCTTCACATTTATTCCTGTGAGACATCAGGACATTTAGAGAAGGGAGCATTGTTTTTCTTTTTTTGTTTACCTATATGTCTGGGTTTTTTTGTTTGTTTTTGTTTTTGTTATTTGTTTTTTTTTTTTATTTTTGAGGCAGGGTTTCTCAGAGGCTTTTGGAGGCTGTCCTGGAACTAGCTCTTCAGGCTGGCCTCGAACTCACAGAGATCCGCCTGCCTCTGCCTCCCGAGTGCTGGGATTAAAGGCGTGAGCCACCAACGCCTGGCTACCCTATATGTCTGTTTTTTATATGTGTACGTGGAGTGTACTATGTGCATGTCAGAGCAGGGGTGGTTTTTTTGTTTTTGTTTTTGTTTGGTTTTTCAAGACAGGGTTTCTCTGTATTGTTTTGGAGGCTGTCCTGGAACTCCCTCTGTAGACCAGGCTGACCTCGAACTCACAGAGATCCACCTGCCTCTGCCTTCCGAGTGCTGAGATTAAAAGTGTGAGCCACCAATGCCCCAACCAAAAGGAGGACATTTATTTTTAAAGATTTATTTTTATTTATTTATTTTTGGTTTTTCGAGACAGGGTTTCTCTGTGGCTTTGGAGGCTGTCCTGGAACTAGCTCTTGTAGACCAGGCTGGCCTCGAACTCACAGAGATCCACCTGCCTCTGCCTCCCAAGTGCTGGGATTAAAGGCGTGCGCCACCAACGCCTGGCTAAAGATTTATTTCTTATGTATCGTAAGTATACAGTATTCTGTCTGCACGTATCCCTGCAGGTTAGAAGAGGGCACTAGATCTCATTGTAGATGGTTGTGAGCCACCAGTGGTTGCTGGGGATAGAACTCAGGACCTCTGGAAGAGCAGTCGCTTCTCTTAACCTCTGAGCCACCTCTCCAGGCCGAGGAGGACACCTTGTAGATGTCAGTTCTCTCCTTCTACTGTGTGGGTCAGAGATCAGCTCAGGTGGTCAGGGTTAGTGGCAAACACCTTTATCTGCTGAGCTAGCTCACCTGACTGACAGAGGTCTTTTTCTAGGTATTGATTTCTTTGTGAACCTGGCAGGTCTTATCCAACACACCTTCTCATGTTAGTCGGTAGTTAAACCTTTGAAGTAAATTGAAGCAAACCACCAGTTCCTAGGAATTGCTAGTAGGAAAGTAGCAGAGTTCTACAGGAAAATATGTTTAGGATGATGAGAGACAATTGTAGGAAAAATTAGAAGGCTTTATGGGTAGAGATGAGTGGGGTGAAGAACACTGAAGTTTCCTGAAAGGCCTGTTTTATACTATTTGCTGATTTCCATGGTATAGCTAGGCATAGAGTCACCCGAATGCTTAACCGAAGCTGAAGAATTTGCTTCCAAAGTGGCACATTCATATGGCTGTGTAGGTGTTGTCAGTGTGGTAGGCCTCAGCATCGTTCACCTGGGCCCTTAGTAAGCTGTCCTTGTTGTATGTTGGTGCATGACATGGAGATTGAGTAAGAATTCAAGAGCTGTGCAGAAGCTATCTTTGTGCGTGTGTGCACAGGCATGTGTTGGTAGGGATGGAATCCAGGACCTTATGTAGGCTATGAAAGCACTCTACCACTGACCTGTATCCCCAGTCCAGTGACTTTTTTTCATGACCTATCATTGCAAGGAGCATAGCAACATTTCTGCCATAGTCTGTTATTTGGAACTGAGTCTCTAAGTCAGGTCCACATTCTAGGGGTGGAAATAAGGTTCCATCATTTGAAGATAGTGTCAAAGAATTGTAAACATACTTTAAGAGGCACCCCCTTGTAGCCATAAGTATACACAGCTACAGTAGGAATATTGGTTTACTTCAGTTGCTTGAAACACAATCTTGTTATATAAAGGCTGACCTAGAGCTTTCTGTATACCTAGGCTGTCATCATGGTTGAAACAACATCCCTGCCTCAGCCTCTCAATTGCTAGAATTACAGGCATAAGCCTCCTGGACTTTATTCTGTTTTCATTCTTCTTTTCTCAGGGATTTTATTTTTAGTTATCTGGGTAAGTGTTGGGTGTGGGTACACATGTGTGAATATACCCAAATAGGTTAGAATAGGGTATTGGAGCCTCTGGAACTGGAGTTACAGGCAGTTGTTAGCCAGCTGATGTGGGTATTGAGAACTGAACTCGGGTCTTCTGCAAGAGCAATACATGCTCTTAACTGCTGAATCACCTCTCTAGGCCCCATCCTAATTTATTTTTGAGAAGGGTTTCATGTAGCTCAGGCTTACTCTGAGCTCCTGATCCTCTTGCCTCTGCCTCCCAAGTGTTGGGATTATAGAAATACTTCAATCCCATTAGGAATCTTTTAATGTCAGTTCTGATAATGTTCTGATCATTTCCCTCAAGAATCTGTATTTCTAAGCTGTATTGTCTAGACATTTTACTGTGTAAGTTAAGATTATACAATACCAAATTTTAATTTTTTTGTTTTTTGACACAGGGCTTCTCTGTATAACAACTTTTCGTGTACTGGAAATCACTTTATAGATCAGGCTGGCCTCAAATTCACAGAGATCCACCTGCCTCTGCTCTCAATTGCTGGGATCAAAGGTGTGTGCCACCACACGGGGCTTAAATTTCAACCCTTTACAACAATACATTTACACCAATACATGGTTATCCTTCAGTTTACTCAAATTGGATATTCATATAACTCTGAAGTCTTCTCCTTTATTTTGCTGGCTTGAATCCAGAACTTTGGTCATGCTAGACGAGCAATCTATTACTGAACTACACTCCAGTCTTTGTTTTTCTTGCTTTGTTCTGAATATTTCTTAGTATGAATAAATTTGATAGATCTCTATCCATTAAGCTTCAAAGACTTTTGTTTTTGTTTGTTTGTTTTTGGTTTATCAAGACAGGGTTTCTCTGTGGCTTTGTCCTGGAACTAGCTCTTGAAGACCAGGCTGGTCTCGAGGTCTCGAACTCACAGAGGCAGAGTCTGCCTCTGCCTCCTGAGTGATGGGATTAAAGGCATGCGCCACCACCACCCCCCTAAACGATTACCTTAAATGCACTTTCTTCCCGAGGCCTTCCCCCAGAGTCCTGTTTAACCATTCCTTATAACTTTCCGTAGGATTTGGTACAGAACACATCGTGATTTACCTTATCTTCCCTACTAGATTGTAAATTCTTTGAGCCGGGAATTGTGTATGTATTTGTTGCAATACAAGACCCACAAGAGCAGTTTACTAAATAAAGACCGAGGGCATCTTTCTCTTAGACCTTTGATGGCTGGTGCATGCGCACTGACGTTCTCGGGCCCCCGCGGCCGACAGAGCGCGTCTCAGCAGTGACGTAGCTGCGCTGCTCAGCAGTGACGTAGTTTCCCCGTCACCCAGCACTCCACAGCCACTGCCAGCCGTTTCAGCGCTCGGGAGTCGAAGATGGCAGAGCAAATTTCTCAGGAAAAGTCCGCGGACCAGGTGTGCTCTTTCCTCTTCAAAAAGCCCGGGCGGAAAGGGAGTGCTGGCCGCCGAAAGCGGCCTGTGTGCGACCCGGCCTCCGGGGAAAGCGGAAGCAGTAGCGACGAAGGCTGCTCGGTGGTGCGACCCGAGAAGAAGCGGGCCACCCACAATCCAATGATCCAGAAGACGAGTGGCAGCGGTAAACAGAAGGCGGCCTACTGTGATCTGAGCAGCGAAGAGGAGGAGAAGACGGAGAATGAGAGTCTAGGCGTAGTCTACAAGTCCACTCGCTCCGCTAAACCGGTGGGGCCCGAGGATATGGGGGCGACAGCTGTCTACGAGCTGGACACAGAGAAGGAGCGAGACGCACAGGCCATCTTTGAGCGCAGCCAAAAAATCCAGGAGGAGTTGAGAGGCAAGGAGGATGACAAGATCTATCGTGGAATTAATAATTATCAGAAATACATGAAGCCCAAGGATACATCGATGGGCAATGCCTCCTCCGGCATGGTGAGGAAGGGCCCCATCCGAGCCCCGGAACATTTACGTGCCACGGTGCGCTGGGATTACCAGCCTGACATCTGTAAGGACTACAAGGAAACTGGCTTCTGCGGCTTTGGGGACAGCTGCAAATTCCTCCATGACCGTTCAGATTACAAGCACGGGTGGCAGATAGAACGTGAGCTTGATGAGGGCCGTTACGGTGTGTATGAAGACGAAAACTACGAAGTAGAAAGTGATGATGAGGAAATACCATTCAAATGTTTCATCTGTCGCCAAACCTTCCGAAATCCAGTTGTCACCAAGTGTAAGCATTATTTTTGCGAGACCTGTGCACTGCAGCATTTCCGCACCACTCCACGCTGTTATGTTTGTGAGCAGCAGACCCATGGGGTCTTCAATCCTGCAAAAGAATTGATTGCTAAACTGGAGAAGTACCGTACAGCAGAGGGTGGTGCTTCCAACGCCCCAGAAGACCCTGATGGGGTCTAATTGCCGTTACTTAGGTGTTCCATAATTGTCAGATCTCAAAGTACTTTTTGTTTTGGCCACCTCAAAACCAACCATAGTTGAAAAAATATTAAGTTTTCTAGGAAGAATATCCAAGTTTTGTTTTATATAACAATGCTCATATTGAATCAATGCAGGTAACTTATGGAACTCTCAGACTACCCATCCTGTGTATAGCTAGCTATACATTCTAAGTTAAAATAAATTAAGAACTAGTTCATACTATAGTGCCCTGATGTGATTTTTCTTTTTGAAAGAACGATGTCGCCATCTATTGGAGAAGTAGATTTTAGACATTTCAAAGAGGGCTGTTGAGGAACACTTAAAATTCAAGGGCAAAGTTACTGCCTTACTGGGGGGAAAAAAAAAAAAACCTATAGGGCAGTTCTGTGGAATCTCAAATGTAGAAATGAGGCAGATGTGAGGGACCTATATGCTTAAAATTGCAATGTATACATTGAGGTTTTTATTTGTGTAGACTTGAGTCTAAATACATTTAGCTTATGAAAAGGAACTCAAGTCATGTATGTTAAAGGAAAAAACATGAAAGCCAGATTAGTGTGTTTGTTGTGTGTGTGTGATGTATGTAGGAGTGCTCCTGCCTTTGTGCAGTAAGGAGGTCAGAGGACAACTTTGTGGAGTCATCTCCATCCACTTTGACTAATAAAACTGACTTAAGGTGACAGCCTGTGTGACAGACATCTTTACCGTTTTTTTCTCCTGAGCCATCTCATCTCATTTGCCCTTGTTTGGGTTTTTGAAACAGTCTTTCTGTGTCTCAGCTTATATATTCCAGGCAGGACTTGACTTTGGAATTCTTTTTCTTCAAACTTCCAACTGCTGGGATTACAAGTGTGAGTCACTATGCTCAGCCACTAATTTTCACCTTAAGTTATTTTTGTGTGTGTGTGTGTGTGTGTGTGTGTGTAAGTCACAATAGCAGTCAGTTCTTTTTGCTGTGTGGATCCAGGGTATCTTTACCCATTAAGCCATTTCGTTGGCCCCACTAATTATCTTTTGAAAAATGTATTGATATATAGATTTTGGGAAGTATAATGATACATCAAACAAAGATCTATTTCCAGGCACCTGGATGGGGGAATGTTTGAGCCATATATGAACTGGTATGTTGACATTAGTTTTGAAAGTATGACAAAATAAGCCATTTCAAAAATGTAAGAAACAGTAAGAAAGAACATCTGAAAGAAATCATAGAATAGCCGGGTGTTGGTGGCGCTCGCATTTAATCCCAGCACTCGGGAGGCAGGGGCAGGCAGATCTCTGTGAGTTCGAGGCCAGCCTGGTTTACAGAGCCTGGTTTGGAGCCAGGACAGGCTCCAAAGCCACACAGAGAAACCCTGTCTCGAAAAACCAAAACAACAACAACAAAAAAGAAATTATAGAATGAAGACAGTACATTAGAACAGATTATAATATAGAAAATTGTTAAGCTATAGGTGAAAGAATATTAAGACATTAAATATTTACTGTGCTGTCCTTATATTATTTAAGTCTTACCTATGACAAAAGCAACATAAGGGAGATTTTGGCTCACAATTTGAGTAGTCCATCATGATGGGGATGTCATGACCTCACGAATGTGAAGCAGCCGGGCACACCCACACTTAGGAAGCAAAGAATGAGAAGTGCTGGTCCTCTGTGTGCTTTCTCCTCATTCAGTTCTGGGCCCAAAACTACTGGATGGTGCTGCCCACACTCGGGCTTCTTGCCTCTTGAGCTGAGCCTTTCTGTTTTCAAAAGATTGTTTTTATTTATATATAATATATTCTATTAAGTATATCTGTGTTTGTGCCCATGGAGGCCAAAAGAGGATGTTAGATTGCTCAAAGCTGGAATTACAGGCAGGTGTAAACAGCAAACATGGATGTTAGAGACCAAGCCTCTGGAAGAACATTGAATGTCCTTAATCACTTAGCTATCTTGCCAGTCCCCTGAACCTTTCTCAAAACAGCTTCATAGACAATATCCAGAAGAGTGTTTATATGATAATTCTTGTTTTGGTTTTGTTTTTTACACAGGGTTTCTTTGTATAGTCCTGACTGTTCTAGAACTTGATATATAGACCAGGCTGGCCTTGACCTTGTGATTCACTTGCCTCTGCCTCCAAGTGCTGGGAACAAAGGTGTGTGCCACCCTACTAGGCCCCAGGTAATTTTATTATCTTTTTTCTTTTATTTCATGTGTGTGTGTGTGTGTGTGTGTATGTAAGGGTGTGTGTACATGCGTGTGGAGGCCTACGGTTGGTGAGGGGAATCTTCCCTCAATCACTCACCTTATTCTTGGAGGCAGAGTCTCTCAACCAAACCCAGGGTTCCCTGATAATACTAGTCTTCCAACAGGCATTGGTGGCGCACACCTTTAATCCCAGCACTCAGGAGGCAGAGGCAGGTGGGTCTCTGTGAGCCTCCAAAACAATACAGAGAAACCCTGTCTCGAAAAACCAAAAAAAAACAAAAAGCAAACAAACAAAAAAACCCCACAACAACAACAAAACAGAACTAGTCTTCCTAGCTAGCTTGTTCTGAGGGGTCCTTGCCTTCCATCTTCCAGCTGGAATTATAGGTAGGTGCCACAGCCACCTGTCATTTACATGACTTCTAGGGCTCTGAGCTGCCTTCTCTTGCTTGGAAGTGCTTTAGCTGCTGAGCCATCTCCCCAGTCCACTATCTGCTTTTTTATATTTGTATATTTTATACTGTATTTTGTGATTCCATAGTTCATATATCTTAAGAGAATATATCTGGGGCTGGAGAGGTGGCTCAAAGGTTAAGAGTGCTGACTGCTCTTCCAGGGGTCCTGAGTTCAATTCCCAGCAACTGCATGGTGGCTCACAACCATCTACAATTCAATCTGGTGCCCTCCTCTGGTATGTAGGCAGAACACCGTATATGTAATAAATAAATAAATAAATCTTTAAAAAAAAGAGAATATATCTGAATGCCCTGGGAACTGTTACTCATGAAAAGTCATTAAGAAACTCAGTAACAACCTAGTAAATCTATAGATGGTTAAGGAAAATGTGCTCAGAGGAGATGACATTGATTTTGTGTTTGTGTTCAAGATTATATGTTATACAATATATTTTCAAAATTTTCTATGAATATGTCCCACTCAATCTTTGAACAATTTTTTTTCCTTTTTAAGCTGAAAGAAAATTTAAGGAACTCGGAGAAAAAACATCAGGAGACTCTTAGAAGACTAGAAAACAGATTTTTTGAAGAAAAGGTATAGAATATTAATATTAAGAAATGCTTTGTTTACTAGAATAAAAGTATGTTTGTATGCATTCTAGCATTCCATTTGGTATCTTGCTAGAAAATGTTAAGTAGCAAAAAATAAGTTTAGTGGTGTGCACCCATAATTGTAGCACTTAAGATGCTGAGTCAGGAAGACCTTGAATTCAAAGCCAACTCTGAGCTCCATGTCAAGGTCTGTACTAGCCTGGGCTACATGGAAGCCTGGGCTACAGGACTTGTCTAAAAAAAAAGTAGAATACAAAAGAGCAAAAGCAAATCTCCATATTCCAGTGTCTAGTTCTTTTCCACACAGAGATTTCTTCTTTAATCTTTAAGTGATATGTAAAATTAAATTTGACCAGGTTGTGGTGGTGGTACATGCCTTTAATCCCAGCAGAGGCAGGCGGATCTCTGTGAGTTGGAGGCTAGCCTGGTCTGCAAAGCAAGTTCCAGGACAGCCACAGCTGTTACACAGAGAAACCCTGTCTTAGAAAACCAAATAAGTAAATAAATATGAAATTTGTATATACTAATAGTGTACCATGGAGTTTCTCAATATATTTATACATGTTTTGATTTTGTTTTTTTGACACAGTGTTTCTCTGTGTAACCGTGGCTGTCCTGGAACTTGGCTTTGTAGACTATGCTGGCCTCAATCTCAGAGATCAGCCTGCCTCTGCTTATACAATGTAAGTTAGGTTAAATATATCTTTTCAATGTGTTCCTCACTTTTTTTTTTAAGATGAGGTCTTAGGTAGACCCAGACTAGCCTTAAACTTGCTATTAATGGGTCCCTGCCTTTAACTCCTGACTTTACCACCTCCACTTCCCAAGTGGTGGGATTACAGGTATGTTTATCACGTCTCAGTAATAAGGACATCTATCTCCTCTCGTAAGTACCACTTACAATGAGAGGAAGGAACTTCAGTTGAGAAGATGCCTCCATAAGATTGGGCTGTAGGGAAGCCTGTAGGACATTTCTTAAATAGTAATTGCCCAGTCCATTGTTTATGGTGCCATCCCTGGGCTGGTGGTCCAGAGTGCTGTAAGAAAGGCTGAGTAAGCCATGGTGAGCAAGCCAGTAACCAGCATTCCCCCATGACCTCTGTATCAGCTCTTGTCTCCAGGTTCCTGCCCTGACTTCTCTCAGTGATCAACTGTGATGTGTAGGTGTAGGCAAAATGAACCCTTTCCTTCCCAAGTTCACCTTTCCTGGCCTCCATAACTATCATTCCAATCTCAACTCCCATAAGATTATCTCTCTTCCATTTACCTATTTTGTGGTGCCCTGGATTGAGCATAGGACATCACACTTGGTAGGCAAGCTCTCTATATTGCATTATCCTTCAGCCAGATATCAACCTTTATTTCTGAGGGAAATCATGCAGTACTTGTCTTTCTGTGCCTTACTTATTTCACTTAGCACAATGACCTCTAGTTCTGCTAAAGCTGCTACAAATGACTGGATTTTGTTCCTGTTACGACAATAGCATTTCATTATGTGTATATTCACCAGTTAGTGGGTAGGCACTTAGGTTGTTTCTATTCAGGAGTCTTGAAATATCCTCATCTTGTGAAGGCTTAAGACCTCAGCTAGTCCCTTCTTTTCTTCCTTCCTTCCTTCCTTTTTTTTTTTTTTTTGGTTTTGGTTTTTACAAGACAGGGTTTCTCTGTAATGTTTTGGAGGCTGTCGGTCCAGCCTGGCCTCGAACTCACAGAGATCCGCCTGCCTCTGCCTCCCAAGTGATGGGATTAAAGACCTGCGCCACCACCACCCGGCCTTTTTTTTTTTTTTTTGAGATGGGATCTTACTATGCAGCCTTGTCTCACCCAGAACTCAAAATGTAGATCAGTCTGGTCTTGAACTCACAGAGATGCCTCCTGAGTGCTGGTTATTATAGGTGTGTGCCATCCTGCCCTGTACATTCCCCAATTTTAAAATTAGTGATGTTCATCAGGTTTTATTTAGCAAAAATATCTTGCAGCTCTGCTTTCTAAGATAAATGTCTTGTTTCCTGATTTATGCATATGTCATTATTCTATCTTGCATTTATGTTGCTATGTTAGTCACCACGACCAAAAACAACTTGTGGAGGATAGAGTTCATTTCCACTTACAACTCCCAGGCTACAGTACAACCCTGAGAGAAGTGAGGGCAGGACCTCATGGCAGACACTGAGGCGGGGACCAGGAGAGACTAGTGCTTATTGGTTTGCTCCCAGAATTGTGTTCTGCTACCTTTCTTATTAAGCCTAGGTACATAGGGGCCTCAGCCCTCCCACATGGATCAGCCAGCAATCAAGACAATACTGCAGATGTGCCCACAGGTCAGTCTGGTGGAGGAGTGCTTCAGTTGGGGCTCCCTTGTTCCAGGTGTACAAGCTGACAACCAAGATAGGCCATAGAGTATCGCTGCCTCAATGAGAATTTGTTTTTTGAGACAGGATTTCTCTGTGTTGTTTTGGAGCCTGTCCTGGAACCCCCCTCTGAAGACCAGGCTGGTCTCGAACTCACAGAGATCCGCCTGCCTCTGCCTCCTAAGTGCTGGTATTAAAGGCATGCGCCACCATGTTCTTTATATCAGGTCACATGAACAAGGTTTTTTTTTTTAATCTATTTACTTATTTAATTTTATGTGTATGTGCCTGAGAATATGCATGTGTGCCTTGTGCATGCAGGAGCCTATGGATGTTGGAGGAGGTGTCCGGCACTGAAACTGGAGTCGTAGATGGTTGTGAGCCACCATGTGGTGCTGGGAGCTGAACCCAGAATGCAAGAGCAGTGAGGGCTTTTACGAGCTGAAGCATCTCTCCAGCTCCTGGACAAAGGACTCTATATGATGCTCAAGTAATTACTTTGTGTATGAAAAACCTACTTTAGAAGTAGGGTTTGCATTTAAACTTCCCATCTTGTGTTTTTTAGCACCGTCTGGAACAAGAGGCTGAGAAGAAGATAGTAATGCTGGCCGAGAGAGCCCACCATGAAGCTGTGGTGTAAGAGTCTGTTGCTTCCTTCCTTGTTGTCTAGTTTATTCTTAGCTTATCTTCCCTTTCTCTGTATTGTTTTGGAGGCTGTCCTGGAACTGGTTCTGTAGACCAGGCTGGCCTTGAACTCACAGAGATCCGCCTGCTTCTGCCTCCTGAGTGCTGGAATTAAAGGCATGTGCCACCAACGCTCCACTCTTTTTTTTTTTAATTTAACTTTTTACACATGTTACTCTCAGTTGGAAAAATTCTTAAGAAAATAAATTTGATGAAAAAAAAATAGGCCGTCCAGACCTGGTGGCACTCACTTAAAATAATGCCAGTGCTTAGGAGGCTGAGGAAGGAACTTCACCAGTTCTAGGCTAGCCTGAAGTGCCTAGTGAGACCCTGTTACAAGCAGACCTAAAGTAGGGCTGTAGAGCAACTGTGTGGGATTGTCAGAAGATTTATGTGTGATACCCAGAGAGTGTGTTTATGTTTGTGTCAACAGCGAACCCCAGGTCTCCATGATTTATTTCTTGTTAATGTAATGATGACTCTGGCAGCTTTCTTTGGGTGGGGATTCACCTTGGAGTTCTCGAGGTCCTCATACGGATATGGATACACGAGGACATAGAAAATTGGTGGCACTTTACTGTGTGTGAGGTTCTAGTAGTTGAAAACCCAGACTTGCACATCCATTACACCTCAGAGCTACATCCCCAGACCTTCCCTTCACTTTTTGAAACAGCCAAGGCCAGCTCAAGCAGACCATGAACTTGCCAGCCTCCTGCTCAGCTTCCAGAATAGCTAGGATTAAACATATGCTACTATTCCTAGGTTGTGTGTGTTTGTTTGTTTTAAGAGACAGGGTCTTGCTATCACTCAAGGTGTCAACCAATTTGTACCATCATCACCAGCTAAGACATGTTTTTCACTTACTGCTGAGGAAGATCTTAGTCACAAGGTCTCCATTGACCTATTGAGTAGTTACTCATAAGTTAAATTGTGGTAGTGTCTTGTGTGTCCTGTGTTCTGCCCTTCCCCAGACTCTGGTGCTAGGGGGTTAATCCCAGGGACTTGCACATGCTCAGCAAGTACTCTCTCACTGAACTACATCCTTGGCATAGTGATGATCTGTATGTTTGGAATGTAAAGATGCCATTGTTCTCTTAGGTAGTATTTAAAACTTAGACATGAGCCAGGTGTTGTGATGCCTGCTTTTAATTCCAGCACTCCAGAGGCAGCGGCAGGGGAATCTCTGTGATTTTGAGGCCAGCCTGGTCCACATAGGGTGACCCTGAATCAAATCCTCCCTCCCCCCACACAAGAAACTTAGGCCTATATTTTGGGTTCTTAAATATATATGTATGTACATCTTTCAGGCAGTTGAGCACTGCTGGAAGAAATGTTTTTAAAGAGAATGTGTATCTTCACAAGGCTCTTACATACCACTTGAAGGACGCTGAAACACGACAGAAAAACTCCAAGAAGTTGCAAGAAAGTCATTCCTGCCTTTTACATCAAAAGGTTCCCACTCTAATTTAAATTGTCTTTCTTCTCTCTCTCTCTCTCTCTTTCTTCTTTTTTAAAGATTGTGTTGGTAAATACCAAGAATTGAGCATAATAATGGTAGATAAGGACAACAGTAGTATTTTCTTTCTGTCTTAATAATTGTCTTATCTGAAAAGATTGTTAAATAACTTTAAAGACACATTATGTATGATTTTACAAATAGAAATATAAACATGACTCTTGTCCTCTAATATCTTAGAATACTCATTTTATTTTATTATTGGCTCATAAATCATGTAGGAACTGGTTTGACTGTGACAGACCTCACATTAGTGATATCACTATATAAGGTTTATTTAGTCTTTTACCTAGAGGATGTTTGAAGGAAAGCAATCCTCAATTCTTTGCAACATGTAGCTTATATATATAAATATTTTTTTTTTGGTTTTTTGAGACAGGGTTTCTCTGTGGCTTTGGAGACTGTCCTAGAACTCGCTCTGTAGACCAGGCTGGCCTTGAACTTACAGAGACCCGCCTGCCTCTGCCTCCCGAGTGCTGGGATTAAAGGCATGCGTCACCAACGCCCAGCTGCAGCTTATATTCTTAACAATTAAAAAGCTGTGTTTTATTTGGCACACATGGTGTTTGCCCTCATGCAGTGCCGTGGAGACCAGAAGAGGCGTCAGACTCCCTGGGACTGGAGTTATTGATAGTTGTGAGCCGCTTTATGGGCGCTGGGATCCAAACCTGGTTCCTGTGTAAGAATAGCAAGTGCTCTTTACTGCTGAGCCATCTCTCTAGCCCTCATCTTAACTTTTTTTTTCATTTTAGTGGTTTTATATGTTGAGAACCTCATGGCCAGGGTGGCTGATAGAGACCTAAGTGTTACTCCAGACAACAGGAGGAAAGATAAGAAACAAAACAACAACAAAAATGTGGCTCCTTTCAAAATCTTCCCAAGTGTCCTATTTCCACTTATGTCTCAGCCAGCTGGTGTGGCACATGCCTTCAATCTCAGAACTTGGGAGACAGAACAGGCGGTTCTCTTGAGTTCAAGGCAAGCTTGGTCTGCAGAGCAAGTTTCAGGACAGCCAGGGCTACACTGAGAACTCCGTCTGGAATTAAAAAAAAAGCAAGCAAGCAAACAAACAAACAATAAATCCACTGGCATTGCTGAACTGCAAGGGAATCTGGAATTTTCAGCTGGCTTGAAGGAAAGGGAGAATGGATGTTAGGATAAACAAATAGGGGTCTGCTACAGTTTTCTTTATAGACTTGCTAGTCGCTTTTGTGCAGTTCTATTTATTTTAACAATATAAAATACGTAACCTTATAAGTTATAAAGGAATTACATAAGAATTATAAAGGAAGTCTGAAAGCTTCCTAATTAATAAAATCAGTGGATTGTCTCAAAAGGCTAGGCAGGGACTCAAGGATGTATTTTTCTGTCCACAGAAATAACCAAAATAATTGCCTTATCCTAACATGAAGCTCAGATCCCCTTAGCTAATAGAAATTATTGAGGGACTTTTAAGTTCTAGAATGTTTAAAGAAAAAAAGTCACCTTCTGTTTTTTAGGAAATCAATGAGCTGCTTGTTAAGGAAAAGATTTTGCAACTTACCCAGCAGAAATCACAAATCCAAACTCTTCAGAAGAAGGTGGTAAGCTTGGAGAATGCACTGACTTATATGACCACAGAGTTTGAGACTGAAGTTTTGAAACTACAGCAAAAGGCAATTATAGAGAACCAAGCAGGCCAGGTAGAAATTGACAAATTGCAGCAGCTTCTTCAGCTGAAGGACAGGGAAATGAATCGAGTGAAGAAGCTGGCTAAGAACATCCTGGACGAGAGGACAGAAGTGGAGCAGTTCTTTCTAGATGCTCTATACCAAGTGAAACAGCAGATTCTGATGAACAGGAAGCATTACAAGCAGATAGCACAAGCTGCTTTCAATTTAAAAATGAGAACAGCATGTGTGGGAAGAACAGAGTATCCCAGAATCAGGACCTTTGATGGCAAAGAACACAGTACCAATAGTGTGAATCAGGATCTCATGGAGGCTGAAAAATGGTAATGCTGTCATATATTGTCTTTCTGGGCACTTGTTTTCTTATCCTTTAAAAAAATGTGAACTCAGAAGGTTGTGTTTGCTCATGCCTGTAGTATTTCATGGCTATTATACTGTGACTATTGTTACTTTCTTTATCTTTTTTTTTTTTTTGGTTTTTCTGAGACAGGGTTTCTCTGTATTGCTTTGGAGGTTGTCCTGGAACTCGCTCTGTAGACCAAGTTGGCCTTTGAACCCAGAGATCCACCTGCCTCTGCGTCCCAAGTGCTGGAATTAAAGGTGTGCCCCCACCACATCTGGCTAGGTTAAACATTTTTTAATAAGTATACTTTTCAGTTCCTTTTATGCTATTCCTTTACTATTCTGAGGTAAAAACTAATAGGTAACAATAATTACATAATTTTAAAAAATGAATATAATAATTGTTTGTAATGACTGTCTTACAGAAATGTTCCATGGATTGGAGGGCATTCAGTAATGCTCTCTACATCTCTGTATTAGCCAAAAGTCTCAACATTTCCAAAGTGTCTAGAGACTTTCTCATACTGTGGCAAGTGGGATGTCCGTGGCAGCTTAGACTGTGTTGGAGATGCATTCGGTTTCTCTTTAGCACTGTGCTTTAATAGTCTGCCCACTATAACCTGCCAATGTGGATCACAGTACATTTTGTGTTTCTCAGTTCATTTTATGATGACAGAACATTTTGGATTGGGTAGCATGATGGTAATCCTTTTCAAATTTTATAGTTTTGTAATGTGTATAGTTTGCTTTGAAATCATTATATAGTATCTGGTTATTCTATAGAAATTTTCTATTTATATACTTTGTATTACTTAAAGAAGATAAGTTTACTTTGATCACGTTTTTTTTTTCTTTTTAATTCTTCAGGCCAAGTACTCAAAAAAATGTGGATATTGGAGATTTGACCTGGGAGCAAAAGGAGAAAGTCTTAAGATTGCTTTTTGCAAAAATGAATGGTATTACTGCTAGGTAATTGTCCATTTGTGTAATGAAATGTCACCTTGTCAAACCTAGAAGCCACATAGGAACAAGGACTGTATTGCCATCGAGAATTAAAGGAAATATATTAAGTGACCAGAAAGGCCTTAGCTACTTTCTCAGCTGTTGCAACTTTTAGAGACAAAGACTGGAAGATGAACAAATAGACATAAAAACAAACGGAGATGTGGAAATGGGAGATAGAGAAAATACATCTCTGATGTTTAAGGTGATGCTTCCAAAGGATCATTGAATGTATGGCACCTTCAGGGAAACTTAACTATTGAGCCTGTATTGGTTTGCAAAGATGAGTAAATTATTTTAGGCTGATGTTTGTTTTGTAGCAGAGTGTCATGTAGCTTAGGCTGCTTATATCTCACTTTGTCACAGAGGCTAGTCTTGAACTCCTGATCTGCCGCCACCTCCCAAGTAAGAATAATAATTAGGAACTTGGTAAAAGTTCATAGTTGACTATGTATAACTGAATCAACAGTAAAGTATTTCGTAATTGACCTTAGTCAGAGGAGTATAAATAGTAAACAACTAAAATAAATGACTTAGCAATCACTTAGCCTCTGCTAGTGTTTTGCTAAGGATTTTTTCATGTTTAACTACCAGAGTTTTGACTGTTGCTACTATTTGAATAGATTTATGCTGTTTTCATTGGACTTGCTTAAGTCAAGTTTAAGAGTGGCATATGTGACTTTCTTGAGAAGTCAGCATGTGATATTTTTATCTCTATAAACTCATGCATTCAGAATAGACAATCAATTACATTCCATTTCCTGTTTATTACCCTACACTTTCTGAGGTACCCTGGGCCTGTACCACTGCCTAACTGTTCTGTGTCTATGTGCTCTGCACACACTTCCTCCCTTTCTGCTCTGTTAACCTTGGATATTAGCCCAAGCTTTTCCTTTGTCAGACCTTTCTTGACCTTCACAATGAAGACAGAGTCCCTAATCTAGGTCTTCATACCTTTATATAATTTCTCTTATATCCAGAGGTGGAAGGAGGAGGATCAGGAGTTCAGGGCCATACTCAGGTATTTCCCTATCTCAAAACAACCAAAAGCCATTCACTTGACATAAATTCTTTTTGTTGTTACCTTTAGTTCCCAGGATCTACCTGTGTCCTCCTCCAAATGCTAAATTTGAACTCTTGTCTTCTTGCTTTCTCAGCTAGTACTCCTACTCACTGATCCTTCCTCCTACTTCCATGAGGTTCATCTGTGGGAAGGGAACTTTGTTGGGTATTTTATTCAGTTCTCTCATTCACCTTGCCTTTAGACATTAATCACTGTTCATGAGTACCTTCATTATGGTTGTCTCCATAAATATTTGTTTCTTGAATTCAACATGTCTCAACTTTACATTTGGGGGCTGGAGAGGAGGCTCAGTAGTTAAGAGCACTGGCTGCTTTTCCAGGGGTCCTGAGTTCAATTCCCAGCACCCACATGGTAGCTCATAACCATCTATAATGAGATCTGGTGCACAGGAATACATACAGGCAGAACACTGTATACATAATAGATAAATAAATCTTTAAAAATAATTATATTTGATTACTTAATACATCATATTTTAATATTTTAACTAGGCAGTGGTGGCACATGCCATTCCAACATTTGGGAGGCAGAGGCAGGCAGATCTTTGTGAGTTCTAGGCCAGCTTGGTCTACAAAGTCCCAGGACAGCTAGTACTATTACGCTGAGAAACCCTGCCTTGAAAAACCAAAAACAAACAAGCAAGTAAACCAAACCAAACCAAAAATAAACTATGTGTGTGTATAAAACTCATTCTGATAATGGAAACCTTACCCAGCTGAAATTTGACTCAGCATTTTAAGGGTATTGAAATAGGAAGGCACAAGGAGACATTGCCTCATTTGTCTTTTGATGTTTATCTATCACAGGAAATACAATCAGAGTTCTAAGCCTCCTGTTCCAGACTATATTTCTGACAGTGGAGAAATGAAAGAAACTGGGTAAGATTTTTCCTGCTAGATTTATGAGCAAAAGCCTGATCACAGAGTATCTTGTGGATATTTTATAGCTGGAGTTAAATGAAAATGATTTAGCAAGTGTGTTGTTTTTGAACCAAATTCCATGCATGACTGTTGACAGCACTATTTTGTTATTATAGGGGAGAAATTAACCTTCCAGATGAAACCTTCATCACCCAGCAAGTTCCAGTGTCAGACTCCAATAAAATGATGTCACCGGGTATTCCTAAAGGATTACAGGACTCTGACATAGTAAGGAATCTACTATCTGGTCAGACAGTGCACCACTGGTACCTTTCACTATGTGATGTCTTTTTGCTAGTTCACAGAATTTTTTTTTTTTTTTACGAGACAGGGTTTCTCGGTATTGTTTTGGAGGCTGTCAGTCCAGCCTGGCCTCAAACTCACAGAGGTCCACCTGCCTCTGCCTCCCGAGTGCTGGGATTAAAGGTGTGCACCACCACTGCCTGGCTATCCTGTCTTTTATAGAAGCACATACTGCCTTTGCAATTCTTGGCTTTGAGGATAGGTCAGAAGCACAAATCAGTATAACCTAGAGAACAAAGGAAGGAAAAGACCATTTTTTTTTCCCAAAACTGTGTTTTCCCCCCAAGGGTTTTTTATTTGTACTTGGTTATACATAATTAGTACACAATCTGACAAAATTCAAATGAGGTCATAAAAGAGCAAAAAGGGAAAATTCTGGTTTTCTGTTTTAGTTACACTAACCTGAATATGACGGCAGATTTCATCTAAGAAATAAACTCTTTGAGCACAGAAAGCTGACCAGATCAGTTTATTCTAATTAGAGTGACACAGTTCTGATCAGTCAGTGTTTTTAAAAAGTAACTTCCTTCATATCTAAGAAAAATGTTAGGAGTCTCTGTGACTAAATGCTACTTGGAATTTAGATGATAACCATTTTTCAACCCAATTCAAAATTACTGGGTTGTAATCACAAACTACAAATTTCCTCTTGGCTTTATGATGGGAAACAGAAAATCAGAGTGACTGAAGGCTCTGAATTCTACCCGAGGAATTGTAAGGTTTTTCCCACCTTCACTTGAACTCACCGGCTAACCTGATGGACTGCAGAGCAGCGCAGTGAATGACCAGCACCACATCGTACTGTGCACTGGAGACTTGGCTAGCAGAGCCAGCAGCCATCTAGTGCAGAAAGCCGGGCTTGACACAGGACAGACCAGCTATTGTGTCCAGCACATCAGCCTCTTCTGGCTTCGAGTTGGAGCATCAGAGAAGCAAGGTTAAAGCCTGTGATCAAGTGGTGGCACTGTGAAGGCATGGAAACTTAAGTTTCTGGTAGCCCGGCCAATTCTGCTGTGTGAAGAGATCTTTCATTAAAGAGTAACAACTAATGAGAAGTACTGGCAAAAGAAAGAATAGCATAAATTTTGGCAAATAATAGGTTAAGGCAAAGTATCTTACCCACATTCGTAATTGGAACATTCTTTGATTGCTGGGTCAAAAATAACTTGTGAAATAATTTTTCTAAGGATTTATTTGCATGTGAATTAATGGCTGGAGTATTAATGATTGCTAAAGCAAACCATGAAAAATGGCACACATAATGAAAAGCTGACATATCACTTGCATCCTGAGGTATCTGAGAAGCATTTTAAGAAAAGAACATGGACAGTGATAGGATTAAATAGTGGTCATGAATCAAAAGAAGGTGGCACCAAGCAGAAAAGAAGCAGGTGTCACAATGTGGGGCAAGTAAAAGTAGGTTACATCTTTGTAGTGTGGGAATCAATGGAGGGCTGTGTTTGAGGCTCAAGTAGAGGGTGAACTGTGTCCATCCCATTTCCCTATCCAAGAGATCTTGCAATTACTGGAAGATCTGTCCCTATACTGACATTGCCCTCCAAGTCATCAGAAGACGAGAACTGTTAGAAGATGGTTCTAAGCTCTCATTCCAGGTCAACACTTCACAATTACAAGTTACCCCCAGAACAGACATATGAAGAGCAAGTGCAGAGCAAGTGCATTACATTAGTGTTTCCCTGCAGTCTCCCTATTAATGTGAAGGAACTGACAGTTGTGAGACAGAGTTTGACTTCAACTCATGGATCTGATTTGAGCAAAGATGGCAAGGGAGGGTGGCCAAGAGTGAAGGGAAATTACTGCGGTTGAACTGACTCTTGAAGAACGTGTTCCTAACGCCCCATGGTAGGCATGACTACAGAAGGTGAGGAAAGAGTGGCATCCTCTTCTTTCCACTGAGATGTGATAGTCTTTAGCTGAGTGTAAAACTGGATGCCCTAAAATGGACAAAGAGACACAGTCAGCTTATACTCTAGGAGTCTAGAGCTTTAAATTAATGTTTGAATAATTGATGCCACAAAATCCAATGTTCATGAGATACCTAAAACATTTATGGGAATGTAGAGAGATGGTTCAGCTATTAAGAGCACCTCTGGAGCCGGGCGTTGGTGGCGCACACCTTTAACCCCAGCACTCGGGAGGCAGAGGCGGATCTCTGTGAGTTCGAGGCCAGCCTGGTCTACAGAGTGAGTTCCAGGACAACCTCCAAAACAATGCAGAGGGTGGTAGAAATAGAAGATTCTCAGCAAACTCAAGGGCCAGCTAGTCTGGCAAATGACAAGGAGTCAAGGTGGCAAGGACCAACACCCAGTGTTGTCCTCTGTCTTCTGCATAGATATCCCCTCCCTACCTCTCACACAAAGAATTAAATAATAAAAACACTTACAATAATACCTGCCACATAGTAAACAGTCAATCCTTAGACATCATTAATATACTGAAGTTGGAATTTTAAGTATAAGGGTATCAAAGTAGACAAACTGAACAATGTAATCTTGTTAAAATTTCAGGCCACGGGGGCTGGAAAGATGGCTTAGAAGAGCACTGACTGCTCTTCCAGAGGTCCTGAGTTCAATTTCCAGCAACCACATGGTGTTTCACAACCATCTGTCAAGATCTGGTGCCCTCTTCTGTACTGCAGGCATACTCGAAGGCAGAACACTGTATACATAATAAATACCTTTTAAAAAAAATTCAGGTCACTATTTCGGAGCTGACTGCAGCAAAGCCAACAGACTTTGCTCAAATCCTGCTTTTACCCTTGAGCCCTGTCTGTGATACTAACTTACCTTGTATCAATGTTGTAAGGAGAAACTGAAATAATATGGCAAATAACTGGTATTCAACAATTTCTATGTCTAGTAGTCAGTGATAATGTGCTACATTATATGAAGTAGCAAACCTAAAATAGTATATGGATCCACTTCTAAATCACCAAAACCTTTAGTACACTTAAGACTGTGTAAGACCTGTGTTCAATCCCACCCCACCTAATATATGTACAATTTGTTGTAGAAGAATAAGCAAGACATGATAAATGGATAGAAGTCATTCAGATGATGGAGGATCACAGGAAAAAGAAATGATCTGTACAGAGATTTGGATTTCCTTATGCTCGCTCCTCTAAACCCATTGCCTTGAGTTACTCATGAAGAGACAGGTTTGGCAAAATTTTGTTAACTTTTAAATCCTTTTTTAGGGGCCGGAGAAATAGAGCAGAAAAGATGACTCCATAGCAGATACCAGCCAGTCCTTCCATATGTAATCTTGCTCTGAATATGTTCAAGAAAATTTCTCAAAGGAAAAGAGGATTCCAACTCAAAAGTTACCTGTTTGCCATAGAAGTTGGTGTCTCCCCTGAAGGAAGATCGAGAACCGGTGAAGGAAAACATCGGCAAAGGCACTGGAATGGGGACGTTAACGCCCACCTGAAAAGAACAAATGCGCTTCAAGTACTGACCAAAGGCTCAAACACAGAGTTCAATTTTACTTTTTTTTTTTTGGTTTGTAGATTTTGTTTGGTTTGGGTTTTTGGAGATAGCAATTTTAAGAAGTCATCTTGTACCTTTTGCTCCACCCTAAGAACCTTTATTCCTGAGGAAGGAATGGGGAATTATGGGCAATTAAAGGTACAGTCTTCAAACAAGTTGCAGTTGACTGATGGTTGTTTACTGGTTCCTCCTTTTAGCGGTAAGGATCTTCAACCCCCCCCACCCACACCCACACACCCACACGCGCGCACACACACCCACACGCGCGCACACACACCCACACGCGCGCACACACACCCACACGCACACACACACACACACACACACACACACACACACACACCTGTCCGACATCCACCATGTGAGAGTATTTGCGTGCAGTGGCTCCATTGGTGGTGAAGATGGCAGTTCCATTTCCATAGGGGTTGTCATTTACGATCTTGATGGCTTCATCCAATGTCTCCGTCTCCAGAACCACAAGAACTGGACCAAAAATCTCCTCCTTGTAACAGGTCATACTTGGCTGTCAGGAGAGATGGATCCAGAAAAGAAGTCAGCTTTTTGAACTGAGTATTTTATGCTTTTTTGGCACTCTGACTCACTACCCATTGTCTCCACATGCATCTTTCATCTTCTCTTACTGCTGTGCCACCATATAAATAACTTGGAATTCTCACACTCATTGCTTCTTAGTACTCTATTTCACATTCAAGACCCATCACCAGCTTCTTTTTTTTAAAGGTTATTATACATACAGTGTTCTGCCTCCATGTACACCTAGGCCAGAAGATGGTAGCAGATCTCATTATAGATGATTGGGAACCACCATGTGGTTGATGGGACTTGAACTCAGGATGTTTGGAAGAGCAGCTAGTGCTCTTAACCTCTGAGCCATCTCTCCAGCCCCCACCAGCTATCTGTTTAATACCTGTATAACTTGTTTCATAAATTGTTAATGAAAATTACATGAAAAGTTTGTTTGTTGAGACAGGGTTTCTCTGTGTAGCCTTGGCTGTCCTGGAACTTGCTATGTAGACCAGGCTGGCCTCGAACTCACAGAGATCCGCCTGCCTCTGCCTCCCAAGTGCTGGGATTACAGGCATGTGCCACCACTGCCCTGGGAAAAGTCATTTTTATGAATCAAGTATATTAAGTACACCAGAGGCTGGCGTACTACAAGAGCTAGTTCCAGGACAGCCTCCAAAGCCACAGAGAAACCCTGTCTCGAAAAACCAAAAAAAAACAAAAAAAAAAAAAAAAAAAACTTTTCCAGAAACTTCTTATTGAATGCTCTGTAACAAAATATCCATTCTCATTCATTCCTTTGCTTCCAAATACATCTCCAATTTTGATATTGGGTTCTAGTTAAACATTCAAAACATCCTTCACTGTTGCACCTAGTCAGCTGTGTTTGTTTTTAGTAAGTTTTTCCTTTGAAATTCTGTGGCAAAAAAACTTCAACCTGTGATCTTTCAGGATTAGTGAAGACATACAACAAAAAGCTTGCCTCAATTTAATCATGAAGGTTAGATGAGAGACTTTCAAATTTGATCAATAAAAGTTAATAGATGATTTCTTTTTCGTTTGTTTCATTCTGGTAAAGAGGAAGTAACTTTTGGGCACAGGGTAAGATCTTCTACTGGGTAGTTAATATATTGACTGGGGCACTACAATAGCTATGAGCAAGTGGAAAAGGCGACGTAAGACAAGGGCTTAACATCTGTCTGCAGGCCGGATGTGGCAGCTGATTGTTCTTATACAACCCACGAGCTAAGAATAGTTTTTACCTTTTTTTGGTTTTTTTTTTTGTTTTTTTTTTGTTTTTTGTTTTTTGAGACAGGGTTTCTCTGTATTGCTTTGGAGGCTGTCCTGGAACTCACTCTTGTAGACCAGGCTGGTCTCAAACTCAGAGATCGTCTGCCTCTGCCTCCCAAGTGCTGGGATTAAAGGTGTGTGCCACCTCCGCCCCATGTCTTTACCTTTTTTTAATGGTTAAGAAAACATTCAGAGGACTATTCATGACATAAACTTATAAAATCCAAATGTGTGTCTGTAAATAAAATTTTACTGGATAACAGCATGTATGTGGTTGATTTTATACTATACACCAGAGTAGCTGTGACGGAGGCTGCATCTCAGCAAAGCTGAGGATCTTTACCCAGGGAGAGTCTACTGTAGTGGTTGGTTTATGTCATCTTGACATGCCCAAGCACCTGGGATAAGGGAACCTTAACTGAGGAAATGCCTCTATTAGATGGGCATGTGGGCATATCTATGTTGTATTCTCGGTTACTAATTGGTTAGAGAGGGTCAAGCCCACTGCGGGTGGTGCCATCCCCGGGCAGGTGGCTCTGTGTTGTATATAAAATCAAGGTAAACAATCCATGGGGATCAAGCCTGTAGGCAGCCTTCCTCCATGGTCTCTGCTTCAGTCCCTGCCTCCAGGCTCCTGCCATGAGTTCCTGCCCTGAGTTCCCTCAGTGATTGGCTGTGATCAAGTATACCCCTTTTTCCCTAAGTAGCTTTAGTCATGTTTTATCACAGTCACAGAAAGCAAACCAGGCATGTACCTTATAGTGAAAAGAGCTCTGGTTGGGAATAACTGAGCAACCCTGGTGAGAGTTACAGTTTTAAATATCTTCACTTATAAATTGGAGATTCCATAGGGTCTAAGGTGTCTTCAGCTCTTGCGTTTGCAAAATAATCCAGAGTTGTTTACCTTGACATTAGAGATGATGGTTGGCCCAACAAAGTTACCATTTTCATAGCCTTTGACTCTAATTTTTCGCCCATCCAAAAGGATGGTGGCTCCCTCTTTTGTTCCACTATCGATCAGACTGCAGACTCGCTCTTTGGCCTGGGGGGTGATCAGAGGGCCAAGATCAGCTCCAGGCTGGTCCCCTATGAAACAAGGAGACGTGTCTAAGGTTTTACCAAAATAAAATCTAACTGATGAAATAAATGACAAGTAGAGTTAAAGAGAGGGAATAGTATTAGTATACACAGCTGCTTCCCTGGACAAGGCCAATGCTAAATCTAAGAAGTTAGTGCCACAGAAGCAAAGTCTAAAGTTACCTGCATTGACTCGCAGATTTTTGGCACGCTCCACCAACTCTGGCAGCCACTTTTTAGCTTCCCCGACAAGGATGGCTGTCGAAAGAGCCATGCAGCGTTGGCCAGCAGCTCCAAATGCAGCTCCAACCAGTTGGTTTAGTGTATTTTCCTTATTGGCATCTGGCATGACTACCCCATGGTTTTTGGCTCCCTAAAGAAATTCAGAAAGTACACAGATCATCTTAGCTAAATTCAGGTAAGCCAAAAACTTAAGCAAAGAATCTAATATATATGAAATGAGAATTTAAGGAAGAAAGACTGTATCTTTTGTTATTTTGAACAAAGATTTTTTAAAAATTAATTTTTAAATTTTGCAGTATTGGGAATTGAATCTAGGTCTCATGCATGCCAAGGAAATGTCAGTCACTGAGGTATATCTCTCTTTTAAAAACATTTTATTTGACATAGAGTCTCACTAAGTTGCCAAGGCTAGTACTGAACTCACTCTGTAGCACAGAGATCATTTTTAATACTGCTGAAGTATAAGCACTACTAAACAGGGCTCTTATGTTATTTCAATCTCCTTGGGAAACTGATACGAATTTATTTAGGTCGAAACCATTTACAAGGTGGTGGTGGGGAGGGGACTGTTACTTTCAAATTGACAGATTAAGAGAATAGTAGAAGCTGGGCAGTGGTGGTGCACACCTTTAATCTCAGCACTCAAGAGGCAGAGGCAGAGGCAGGCAGATTTCTGAGTTTGAGTCCAGCCGGGTCTACAGAGTGAGTTTCAGGACAGCCAGGACTATACAGAAAAACCCTGTCTCAAAATACCAAAACAAAACAAAAAATAATAGAATACAAAAGTAAACTATGTATTATATGAGGACATATGAACCAGTGCCTTACATGGACTTTGGCCCCTTTCCAATTCCTTAACAAACTGGTTTTGTAAAGATAAAACAACCTCAGGGATAACCATAGCTTTATCATATTTTTAAGCCATATCATTAGCAGTTAGGTTACACTAAGGTACAATAAAGTCTAGAAAGAGAAACTGAACTGTTAATGCTGAAGACTAAAGAACTTAAGCAACATTTTTTGAGGAGGAATATGCCCTTTGTCACCAAGATTAATCATATATGATAAAAGATTATTGATAACTACAACAGAATAAAACTTCACAAGGTTCAGGCACTAAAGGAGAAGACATTCAGGATGGAATGACAAATACTGGCCTTCATGGGACATGGGATGAGTGGCCCATCTACTGAGGACAATCCATAGTTCTTACATATTCACATAGCCAAATTTGAGGAGCAAAAGAAATGAGAAGTTACCATATTGGCTTGAACCCTCTTGCCATTTCTTGACCCTCTTTCAAAGATGTACTCTCCTGCCTGGTTGGAGCCCACAAAGCTGATTGCTTTGATGTCTGGATGATCGCAAATAAAATTGACAGCTTTAAAAAGAAAATAAATGATTACCAAAAAGAATAAAAACCCATAGTCTTATCAACATAAATCTCCCTTTCCCCCAGACTGTGAATTAACATTCATACATCTCTACATGGAAATCCCACTGTGATGTGCTCTTATTTCTCTTAAATTATAATTTGGCTTTTGTTTGTTGGAGATTTTTTTTGTGTTTTTTGTTTTGTTTTTCGAGATAGGATTTTTCTGTGGCTTTGGAGCCTGTCCTGGAACTCGCTCTTGTAGACCAGGCTGGTCTCAAACTCACAGAGATCCGCCTGCCTCTGCCTCCCGAGTGCAGGGTGACTCACAAAGAATCACATGCACATAAATAAACATTAAAATTACCAATCAATACTGATCACCTGCGTTTATTTGGGAGTCGGTAAGTAGCCACATAAAAAAGTTACCTTCATGCTGTCCATGGATGATGTTCAGTGCTCCATCCGGGGTACCAGAATCCTGAAACAATTTTGCAAGAAGCATAGTTGCTCCAGGTACTCTCTCTGATGGCTTCATTAGGAAAGTGTTTCCACAAACTATAGCCATGGGAAACATCCAAAGGGGGATCATAGCAGGGAAATTAAATGGTGCAATGCCTGCACACACACCCAGAGGCAGACGGTAGGAATAAAGGTCCATGTCTTTGGTGATAGATGGCATGGTCTCTCCCATCAGAAGGGATGTCACACTACAGGCATGTTCAACCACCTCTGGAAGACAGAAGATGAAGACTAAATACTACTTATCTCTGTCAAAGGTACCTAACAAGTATTGCCTTTAAGAATGTTTTTAAAGGTATTGCTGGGTATGGTAGTACACACCTTATAATTCTAGCACTTGGGAGGCTGAGGTAGGAGGACCATGATCAGAGCCAGCCTTGGCTACCTAATAAGTTCCAAGGCAGTTGTGGAATATTTCTTTAACTATGTAAAGGTGTGTTACATTCATTTATGCTGCATTTGTTAAACAATGTAAAGATGTGTTACATTTGTTTGTTTTTTGTTTTTTTCAAGACAGTGTTTCTTTATGTAGCCCTGGCCGTTCTGGAACTAGCTCTGTAGACCAGGCTGGCCTCAAACTCAGAGATCCACCTGCCTCTGCCTCTCAAGTGCTAATATCAACATCAGGCCTGTGTTACATTTGTTTATGCTGCATTTGTTTAATGATGTAAAGATGTGTTGCTGCCTGCCTAAGGCACTTCATTGGTCTAATAAAAAGCTAAACAGCCAATAGCTAGGCAGAGGTGGGGCTGGTGGACAGAGAGAATAAGTAGGATGAGAAATCTAGACTTGGGGTAGAGAGGGAGAGGGAGAGAGAGAGAGAGAGAGAGAGAGAGAGAGAGAGAGAGAGAGAGAGAGAGAGAGAATATGAGGGAAACATCCAGGTTCAGCAAGATATAGAGTAGGACATACAGAATGAAAGGTAAAAAGACCTGAGGCAAAACTTAGATGAAAATAAACAGTTTAAATTAAGTTATAAGAGCTAGTGGGATATGTATTAGATAAGGTTGAGCATTCATAACTAATAATAAGTCTGTGTTATGATTTGGGAGCTGGTTGGTGACTCAAAATAATATTACAAAAACAAAACAAATCACAACTAAGAAGAAAAAGAAAAAGTTACCACTGGATAGCAAAATCTACATAAGGAATCAATGTGCCCATTCTGTGGTGTGTCCCATTTCTTTTGACCTCTCCCACAAGTCTCATGAGGGCTCCCAGCTTACGAAGGCCTCGGAATACATCTCCTTCAGCATCAGCTAGAGTCTTCCCTTGTTCCAATGTGATTAACTTGGCAATTTCTTTCTACAGAGAAAACAGAAATAGAAACTAATCCAAGGATGTTCCTTTATTTCCTGGCATTGGAGATGTACATCATGATTTTGTTGATGATGATTTTTTTTTTGAGACAAGGTCTCATGTAGCCCAAGCCAGCCTCAAACTTACTTTGCAGTTGAGGCTGGCCTTGAAATAATGATCTTCATGCCTCCACCTCCCAAGTGCTGGAGTTACAGGTATGAACCATCATGCCACGCTGAATCCGGGGTCTTGGTCATATTCACTAAGCACATATTCTACCATTGAGCTCTACACCCAGCCCCTATTTTCCTCCAAGGGCAAACAAAACTGAGAAACCTCATGAGTGAAAGGGTCATGATCAGTCTTTGAAGAGATGACCAACATACCCTAGGAAACAGGCTAGAAAGCTAGGCAAATTTCTTACCAGGTTTTCTTTAATAAGTTGTTGATAGCGGAGCAGGACCTGCTGACGGCTTAAAATGGATGTGTCTGCCCATGCAGGGAAAGCACGCTTGCAGGCAGCAACAGCTGCCTCCATTTCAGCTTTGGTGGACTGAGGTACCCGACCGATGATCTCATTGGTAGCCTGAAAAGAAGCCATCACATATTGCCAGTGCCTCACCTTCCCACACTGAGCACTCACAGAGGGTAACACTGTGCTTTGTGGCAGAGCCCCAAGCCCCCACCTGTTCCTTGCTCCCAAAGTTCTAGGCTAGTAAGTTTGAGTCCCAAAAGAGTTTTGCTTACTGGGTTGTGGATGTCAATCCATTTGTCACTTTTGGATTCAACAAATTTCCCATCAATGAAGAGTTTTACAGTTGGCTAGAGGAAAAAAAAACACAAACCAAAAGTGTTTTTTAAAATATTACTTTGCTTCTCTTTCTGTGAGGAAGGAACTCTGGTGGATAATTGGATGTTCTTCCCAATCCATCTCTCTAGATCTTTCCCCACCAAAAATGAAAACTTCCAATAGCAATGGAAATATTTATACCTTATAAGAGTAAAATTCAAGACAAAAATATTCAAGACAATATTTAACAATTTTATTTATTTATTTTATGTATATGAGTGCTTTATCTGAATGTACGCCTTTATTCCAGAAGAGGGCATCAGATCCCACTGTAGATGGTTGTGAGCCACCATTTGGTTGCTGGGAATCAAACTCTGGACCTCTGGAAAAGCAGTCAGTGCTTTTAACCGCTGAGTCATCTCTCCAGCCCAAGAATTAAAAAAAAAAAAAACAAAAAAATACAACAATATATAAGAATGCTTATTTTACAATATTGAAAAACTGAAGCACACTAAAAGTTATATGAAGAAAATCAAGTTACATACACAGGATGGAATATTATGCAGCCACTAAAAACTGTAACTGAGCTGGGCCTTCATGGTGCAGAGGCAGGTGGATCTCTTTGAGGTTGAGGCCAGCCTGGTCTACAGATCGAGTTCCAGGACAGGCCTCAAAGCAATATAGAGAAACCCTGTCTCGAAAAACCAAAATAAATAAATAAAATAAAAGACCCAAACAAGCAAACAAAAAGCCTGTAATTATAAGAATATCTTGCAGCTGGGCGGTGGTGGCACACGCCTTTAATCCCAGCACTCGGGAGGCAGAGGCAGGCGGATCTCTGTGAGTTCCAGGCCAGGCTGGACCGATAGCCTCCAAAACAATACAAAGAAACCCTGTCTTGTAAAAACCAAAAAAAAAAAACAAAAAACAAAAAAACAAAACCATAATAGATACAGTAACAGATAAGAAAACCAAGGTAGAAAGTTTTTCTGGGCATGGTGGTACACATCTGTAATCCCAGCACTTCAGAGGAATTGAGGCAGGAGTTAAGGCCAGCCTTATCTACATAGTGAGTTCTGGTCAAGCCAGGGCTATGCAATGAGACCTCTTTTTTGTTTTGTTTTGTTTTGGAGACAGGGTTTCTCTGTGTAGCCCTGGCTATCCTGGAACTCACTCTGTAGACAGGATGGCCTTGAATTCAGAGATTTACTGCCTCTGACACTCTAAAGGCATAAGACTTATTTTTAAAAACACAAAACGAGGGGCTGGAATGTGGCTTGACAATTAACAGAGTGTGGGTTCCTTCCCAGTATCCATTCAACAACCATCTGTAACAGCTCCAGGGAATTCATCATCCTCTCCCAGTCTCTGAAGGCAATAGGCCCACATGACCCAGGCATACATGCAGGCAAAACACCCATAAATGCATTTAAAAAACAATTTTAAAAATGTAAAAGTTACATACATTTTTGTTACAATACTATAATAAAGGAAATGCCTGAAAATTAAACATTCCTTCTCAGAAGTCCATCTTTAGCACTCCAAATACTCACCACTGATGACGAAGAAAAGGAAGATGCTGGATGCCACGTGTTTACTTTAGAAGAAACCTATGGGATTAAAAAGTATCTGATAAATGCCAGATGTTGTGGCACATTAATCTCAGCACGCAGGAGGCAGACAGGCAGTCTCTGTGAGTTGGAGACATCCTTGGTCTACAGAATGAGTTTCAGGCCAGCTATGGCTACACAATAAGACCCTATTTCCACAAAACGAAAATCTGATAAATGTTGGGCAGTGGTGGTACTTGCCCTACTCCTAGCCCTGGGGAGGCAGAGGCAGGAAGACCTCTGTGAGTTCGAGGACAGCCTGATCTACAGAGAGAGTTCCTGGACAGCCAGAGCTTCACAGAGAAACCCTGTATCCAAAACAAAAACAAACAAAAGCAATTAACCAAATGAAAATTCTAACAAGAAACTGGATACACAGAGTTATGGAAACAATAAATCAAAAGATCATGTCCTGGATTTCCAGGAAGTCTTGATTTAAAGAATCTTTTTAGTCATTGTATCATATTTTGCAAAATAGAGTCGCCACAAATCTAACAAAAGTACTTATTACGATATCTAAAGTAAGTATTAAATGTCCTATAAATCAATGTTAATGTAATAAATAATATTGTATATGGTCAATGTGAATTCAGATTAAATAGTAATAGAACATAAATATGTATCCACATACTTGAATACAAATGTTTATAACATCTTTACTTTCACTAACGCCAAACTTGGTAACGATTCAAATGTCCACTCTTAGATAATATGATCAATGTACATATGTATGAAAATAACATACTGGGCAGCTGGAGAAATGGCTCAGCGGTTAAGAGCACTGTCTGTTTGTTCTTCCAGAGGACCTGGGTTTAATTCCCAGCACCCACATGGCAGCTCACAACTGTCTGTAACTCTAGTTCTACAGGATCTGTTACCTTCACCCCAGTGCATATAAAATAAAGGTTAAATAAATTAATAAAAAGAAAATAACATAGTGGAACCCATTTTTTACAGAATACATGCTGATAGAAAAATTTTAAGAATGCAGTAGTTGAGTATGGAGATGCACTTCAGGAAGCTGAGGAATCAAATATTCAGTATCAGTCTGGGCTACCAAGTGAGACTCTGTTCCAAGGGGGGGAAATGAGATGAAACATTAGATGATTTAATTTACATGAAACTAGGTGATACAAGCTCACCTACAGCATCATCAGATCCATAGTTACCCAAGGATGAAAAGGACAGCAGTAAGGACAGCTAAAAGGAACATTTCGGGGTAATGGATATTTTTATTATTTTGTGATACTTTCACAGGCATTAAGGCTTACCAAATGATATATTTTAAATATGTACAGATTATTTTGTGGCAATTTCACTTTAATGAGGCTATGTTAAAATGGTACAGGTACCCCATGGCAGGGTAATATGTTGATATTTGGTAGGGTTAAAAAAAATCAGGGAATTAAGGAATTATAATAATGTTAAACCTCACATTGTAGTTCTAAAAAATATTCAACATGCCACAAAAATTGACTTAAGAAATACTCAAGGAAGCTGGGCGTTGGTGGCACACACCTTTAATACCAGCACTCGGGAGGCAGAGGCAGGCGGATCTCTGTGAGTTCCAGGCCAGCCTGGTCTACAGAGCCAGTTCCAGGACAGCCTCCAAAACAATACAGAGAAAGCCTGTCTCGAAAAACAACAACAAAAGCTCAAGGAAAAGAAAGCTGGAACGATGGCTTCTTTGTCCACTGTCCAGTCTTAATTCTTGAGAATGTGGTTTATGACCACTGTCCCCTTGGTCATTGTCCACTTTCACCAATAGAGTGCTTCCCTCCTGTCTGTCCTGTCCTGTCCTGTCCTGTCCTGTCCGGTCCTGTCCTGTCCTGTCCTGTCCTGTCCTGTCCTGTCCTGTCCTGTCCTGTCCGGTCCTGTCCTGTCCTGTCCCGTCCCGTCCCGTCCCGTCCCGTCCCGTCCCGTCCTGTCCTGTCCTACACTATACGTGTCCCTCTTGAATTCTTTTGCTGGAGATCACAAGGATCAGGGAGCTGAGGTGAGCAAAGCGAAATCCCAGTGACTGTTGGGGTTTTTTCATCTTCACCATGAGATCTTTTCTTTTTAATTTATTTTATTTTATGTACATCAGTGTTTTACCATGGGTGTCGGGTCCCTGGGAACTGGAATTACAGACCGTTATGAGCTGCCATGTGGGTGCTGGGAATTGAACCCTGGTTCTCTGGAAGGGCAATCAGTGCTCTTAATCAGTGAGAAATCTCTCCAGCCCCACCATGAGGACTTGGATATTGCCAATTGGGTTTCTTATCCTAGTTATCTTTATTATCCTATCAACTCTTTAATCTACTCCAACCTTCATGACTAATTATCAGTGTTTTCATATATCCTTTAAGTAGTCCTTAGACCTGACCTCACAGCAAAAGTGACACAGTTAATTACTCTCATTTCTTGAAGTCCTTTCACTTGTCTCCTGTGCTGCCCTGGCATCTTATCTATCCCCACCCCCACCCCCAGGCTGCTCTCTCCCTTTGTATTCATTCCCTATCTCTTTTGCTGGTCGGCCCTCATCTTCCTGGCCATTAACTCGGTTGCCCAAGGCTTAGTCCTTGACTTACTTTCTTCTGGCTCTCAACACTCTCCTTGAGAGATCCCAATTCTCCAGTGGCCTCATTAGACCCCACGTCTGCAGTTCTCAGGGAATACTCATGTAACTATTTTTACACCTCCATTTAGGATCATGTTGGAAAGCTGAACGCCTCACTTTCCTTCCATTAGTCTGCTTTACTTCTCACAACTTACTTATCTGAGCAATGGAGTCCTTGTTACCTGACTGACCATGTCTTATCCGTGAACCAGACCCATCCTGGCAATCTATCTTCCTAGAAGTCTCTGAACACATTGCCTCTCTTTTCCCTGTCATTTTCCAAGCCAGTGTCATCTCTGTCTCTCCTTTAGATTTCGATAGTGGCTTTCCAGCAAGTCCCATAGCTTCCAATCTTACATGTTCTGAATCCAGTTTCTTTTGTTTTGTTTTTGAAACAGGGTTTCCCTGTGTAACTCCAGCTTCAAACTCATAGAGATCCTCCTGGCTATGCCTCCCAGGTGCTAGGATTAAAACACCACCACATCCAGTTTTTTTTTTTTTTTTTTTTTTTTGGTTTTACGAGACAGGGTTTCTCTGTATTGTTTTTGAGGCTGTCGGTCCAGCCCGGCCTCGAACTCACAGAGATCCGCCTGCCTCTGCCTCCCGAGTGCTGGGATTAAAGGCGTGCGCCCGGCTCACATCCAGTTTTGAATCTAGTTTCTCTTCCATAATCAGAGGGTCTTTCTAAGAGGAATTAGATTAGACTACCTGCTTATGCCAAACCCTTCCATGGGTCTGGCAGAGTAGCTCAGAGGTAAAGTAACTAGCATGTACAAGTTTCTGGGTTCTATTCTTAGCAATGCAAAACAAAACTGAAAAAACAAACAAAAAACAAAACCCCCAAACCAAACCAAACCAAAAAGCCCTCCAAGCCCTTGAAGCAATCAAGATTAACTTCCCTGGTGTTGTTCAGAAGACCACATAGTACTTCTTTTTCTCTAGTTTCACAGTGGGATTAGTACTTCCTCCTTGTTCTCTCTTCTAAGCATTCCGGAGTTGTCCCAAGATTGGTCAAGCCTTCTGGACGTGTTCTATCTTCTTGCCTTTTGTATATGCTGACCCATCTTGTCTGACATTATTTCATTCTATTTGCCTGGCTCATTCTTAACAGTTTCAGGCTTTTAGTTGGCCGTTATCTTTTCATACCCCTCAGGTACGGGCTAAGTACCTAATTGTTGAGTTCAAAAAGAACCAAATTCTTCTATTTTTCATTCCACATTACAGGATAGCAGCTTGTTTAATCATTAAATGTTTCTCTCTTTAGATCACTAGACCACTGTGTCCTCTGCCCCTAGCCTAATCCCTGTAACAGATGGAGGATTTGTTAATATTTTGCAGGAGCAAGGGATGAATACAAGCAATGATTTGCTACTAATATTGTTTCATGTGTTCTCCCTTAATGATAGAAAGCGCACAGATCAGTTACTTTAAGCATTCTAGGTCAGTTAAACTTTATGTTTTAACTTACACACAGCCTTCCTCATGTGAAGAAGATAAAGCAGACAGTGCTTCACTTTAGTGAAATATCATCATGTAGTTTTTACAGGGTTAGACCTCATATGTGTTTTGCATTTCCTAAGAAATACTCATTAGCACTATTACTGATGAAACTCATGTCCAACTTTCACTTTCTAGACCAGTGGTTCTCAACCTTCCTAATACTGCCACCCTTTGATACACTTCCTCATGTTGTGGTGACCACCAATGATAAAATTATTTTCATCACTACACCATAAATGTAATTTTGCTATTGTTATGAATCATAATGTAAATATCTGATATGCAATCCCTGTGAAAGGGTTGTTTAATTCCAAGGGGTCACAACCCACAGGTTGAGAACCATTGCTCTAGATATTAACTTCTAACTTGCTGTTTCCTTTGTCTTCTCCCCTTTGCAAGTACTAGACTTGCTAGTCTTGCAGCATTCAAAGCCAGAATCAGCCCTTTCAGAAGCTTGTGCTGAATTAGACAGCTTGCGTTTGGGACTGTTTCCCTATGTCCCTCAGTACTCTGGGCACTTTCCTTGCATTACAGTTGTGAATATGTTAAAAGTCTAGGACGGTGCAAGGGAAGAAAGTCATGCCAAGATCTGAGTCCTAACTTCTCAGCTCCATCAATAACTAACTAGGTAATCATGGGTTAGTGACCTGAAGTGTCAGCCAATTTACTTCAGTGCACTTTTCAATTCTAATCTTCACAGATATTCTTAAAACTAGAAAGTAATGGAGTTAGGGTTAAATGTACAGATTAGCATGGCATCAAGGAGGCAGGTCACTGGGTTTCTTTAAGACTGGTTTTCTTATCTCTGGATGGGAAGGATAATATTACGCAAAGCAGAGAGAGTCTAGGTCATGCTCTACTAATCCCCAAACAGAAAAGATAGACTGAGTACTTAAAATAACTGAAAACTCACCCATCACTTTGTATGCTAGCCTAAAAAGTAAATTAAAAGACAACTCTGAAAACATGATTTTGATTCTTCATAGGTTCTTCTGCTAGTCCTCTAATAGTCATGGCTGTCAGAATTTAGACAATTTTCTCTTTCCTGTTTATTTTTCTTTTCTTTTTTTTTTTTTAATGAAAGGGACTTAGTATGTTACCCACATGTTTTTTGTTGTTGTTTCTGTTAAGGGTTTTTTATTTTTAAATTTTTGTAAGTATGTGATTGTATACAGCACATGTATGGTAGGTACCTTGGAGACCAGATGGCATCAGATCCCCTACAGCTGGAGTTAGAGTTAGTTGAGAGCTACCCAGCATGAGTGCTGGAACTGAACACAGTTCTCTAAAGAGCAGTAAGCACTCTTACTTAATCTTTGAGCTAGCTTTCCAGCTTCCAGTTTTGCTTTTCAGTAACCATTTACAAACTAATAAGTTTCATTAAAGCATTTTCAGGCATGCTACTGTACTGTGTTGCTTTTCCTTTTCTTCTTCAGTTGACCTCCTCATCTCCCCCCCTGCTCTCTGGCTGGTTCCCTTCCCAGGCTGCATCAGTTTCTGCGGGGCCTACATACATATGCCACCGTGCCCACTTAGACTAGCCTTTATCAGGGTGTCATGTTACAAATAATTCCTAATTGTCTAAGAGCTATTTCTGGTCTTTTTCCAAGTCAGTCCAGAGGTTTATTCAAATTGGTTTTTGAAAAGAAAAAAAAAGAATATCTGTTTCAAAAATAACATGCATGGGAAGAGAGTTTTTGCTCCTTTGTGCAAAGGACAAAATACCTTAAGATTCTCAGTGATTCATGCTGATAGGGGTATCATGATTGGGGATGGGGGCAATTTCTATAAAGAATCTTAAGGGGTTAGTAATGGAAAAATGTAGACTGGAAATGTTGTCCCTGTTACTAGAAAAAGATACCAGATTAGAACTAGGGGAGGGAAGTCATGCCAATCCTCCAAGGCCTCCAACTCATTCCCCTCACTGTCCCATTAAATAGCATAGTCAAACCTGAAACTTCGGTGACTCCACCAATAATCAAACAAATGAACACATTTCTGCAGTAGAACTCATGAAACCCGATGAACAGAAATAAAATTTTATATAAGTGTAAAAGTATAGAGGATATCCCCAGACAGGATGAGTAAGAAGGAGACAATGTTGCTTAATGCAGGATTATGAATCTTGACAGTAACAGTATCTTGCCTCATGCTCTAAGTCCTTGCTAAGGCGCAAGCTCACAAAAGGCTATCAGCAAAGCTGGGGATCACAGGCTTGCAGCTTCCACAGCTCTACAACTGCCCTTGGGCTGTCTTCTTCTGGGTTCCAACCCCAGTCTGGCAGAGTGGGGGGAGTTGTGTTGGCACTTGAGGAGCTGACTTTGAGAACATGTCTTCCTAGGCTTTCATTTTCTACCACCTGTTTGGGAAATATTGAGTCCTTTGAATGAAGCAGTATTAGCATAACGCGCCCTTATTTATCTCCAAAAGTTAACTTTGTTGAGAAAGTTTAACTTGGCCCAGAGCTTGTGGAAAACACTAGGAGCTATCACAGTTTGTGAAAACAGCTAGCAAATGGCTGCCTTTGATGTGAAAACCTAGGGTACATTTTTCTAGGCGATTCAGAGTTCCTTTCTGACCCTAGTTGCTCGACCCTAGGGAGCTCCCCTCCCTCTTCCCTTACCTCAGATTATGAATAGAGGTTGGGTGGGGGAAGGGACGCTCCTAAAGGAAAGTATTCTGAGAAAGGTGACCAAAAGGGGTAGCTTCTGGGGAACAGAGGTGGCTGGTGCAGAGGTGACAAAGAGACCAGAGAGAGAGAAAGCAAGCCACAGAATGTCAGCAGGCACTGAGCCAAACTGGAGGTGGGTGGGTCAGAGCCAGAAAAGGAAAGGCTCAGGAGCAAAAGGAGGGAGAGCCAGGCGTGACGGTCTGGGACTGGATCCAAGGCCAGAGACGGTACAGAGTGACAACCGGACGCTCGGGGCTGGTGGAAGAGGGTCGGCAAAGGGGCTGGGCCAGCTAAGTCTGTCCGGCAGAAGCACGGTTTAGAGACGGGGCTGTAAGGACCCACTCCTAACATCATGGTCCCTCGTCGCCACCCTCACTCGCCTGCAGGATCCGGGTCCGCACAGCTGCCGCTGCCGCCACCGCCGCCGCCATAGCTCACCACCTCTGCCCAGCGCCCCGAGCCACGGCTGCCAGAGCCTCCCCAAGAAGTCACACCGCTAGGCCACGCCCGCCACACGGCCCGGCCTCTCCATTGGAGGAGAGGGCCACTTCTAGTAACCAATCATTTGTCAGAACTCTTGACTCCCACCCGTCACTCCTAGTCTTGGGGACATATGATTGGTCAGGAGAGGAAGCGTTCTCGCCCCTCTCACCTCAGCCGATTTTTGTTGGCGGAGGCAGGGAGACGCCCCACCCCGACCTGGTCCTGCATATTAAGCACCCAGCGGAGATAGGGAAGACGCCCCCCTAACCGGGAGCTCCGATTGGCTACAGGTAGGCAGCCTCGAGGTCTCGCCCCCCTCGCTAAGGAAAGTAAATAAGGCCCTTGGAGAATTCTGCCTGCGTTCCACCTTAACCACCGCGCCACGGGCGGGGCTGTTTTCTGGGGTGGGACTAGGCAAATATTACCCTATGGGCTAGGGTAACCAGACCCGGTCGCGAGTTGAGGATAGGTTATTTCTGTAGGGGCGTGGCTTGTGGGTCTTCGCTTTCCCGCCGACGGTTGGCCACGTCACGTGACATGGGCTGGAAGATGGCGTCTCCCACGGACGGTAAGAGCCGGCTTGGAGATGGTTGCCCTGTAGTCTCTTTATTTGCTTCTCTGGGAACTTCCGATGTCTTCACGCTTACACTTCTCTCTTGGGCTCCTCTCCTTTCTCTCCCACTTCTTCCCTTTGGGGTATGTCGGGTTTTCAGCCAGCAGGGTTTTCCCAGCGTCTCCGGAGGTGCCAATACCAGGTCTCCCTGTGTACTAGCTGGGTGGAGGAGGCCACTTTACAAACAGACCCTTTCCCGGAAAAAGAACAGAGGTCGTCCTGGCCCATCGGTGATGCCGAGGGCTCAAACAGGGTTTGAGGGGAAAGGGACCTTTCTTTTCGGATCAGCTCATTGGAGTGTCGGTTCTGTTCTCATCTCAGAAGAGCTAGAACGAGTCTCTCAAGTCCTAGCTGTGGCTGGTGCCTGACATGAGGTTTCTAGTTCATCCCTAGATCGAGCCGGGAGAGAAACACACGTCTCCTTCTCAGTTTAGGTCCGTTGCCCCGGCAGCAGGAGAAGCAAGGACCTGGTTTCCTGGCTCTGAGTCCCGAGGGAAATGAAAATTAGGCTTGTTAATATAGTTCGTAATGTCTCACACTCCTCTATTTTATGCGTTGTTTCCTTAGGCTGAGAGCAGAAACAGTTCTTATATGTCACCTAAGATGCAATTAGGTATTTTCGTTATACCTGTATGCTTTTGCTAGAGGTTCTGTTTCAGTATTTGGAATTGCCCTTCAGTCATTATTCAGTATCTCAGTATATTCATTGTCAGCATAGTTATTTTGTTAACTTTGCCCAGGCAGTCACACCCAATTATAAATTCCAAGTCTGTCTTATTTCAGAGTTTAATCCTAGGTTTCATCATAACGCCTGCAAAGCATTTGGCCTTAAGTTATCGTTTGTCAAAAAATGAAACTGGCCTTGGTGTGTGACCTCTAATTCTAGCTACTTGGGAGATCGAGGCAGGAAGATTGTTGCTTCAGGCTTGCCTAGGCTACAGAGGGAATTGTGGGCAAAGTATGTCTCAAAAGGGTGTTTTGTTGTTGTTGTTGTTGTTGTTGTTGTTTATTTTTTTAGACAAGGTTTCTCTGAAACCCTGGCTGTCCTGAAACTCATTCTGTAGATCAGGCTGGTGTGGAACTCAGCCCCTCCTGCCTCTACCTCCTGAGTGCTGTGATTAAAGGCGTGTATCACCATGCAGTCCATCTGACCTCCATGGGCATCAGGCATGCATATGGTGCACATAACATTCAGACAACAGTAATACAGATAAGTAAATCTAAAAATAAAAAGTGTGTATATATGTCAGTGGGAGAGAGCTTTGCCTATCATGAACAAAGCCCTAGGTTCAGTCTCTGACACAAATCTGAGCTAGTGGAAAGTAAATAATTAAAAGGATTTTTGCTTTTAAAGAATTGGGGTTTGCCGGGTGGTTGTGGCGCACACCTTTAATCCCAGCACTCTGGAGGCAGAGGCAGGCAGATCTCTGTGAGTTCGAGGCCGGGCTGGTCCAACAGCTTCCAAAACAATACAGAGAAACCCTGTCTCGTAAAACCAAAAAAAAAAAAAAAAAAAAAAAGAATTGGGGTTCATGATGTTGCAGAGTCTCAATATGGAGAGGATTGGGAAAGTGCAGTTTTGAACATAGTGGGTTTACGGGATTTTCCCTTCATGTAAATGCGAAAGACATCAAGTAGCCTCTTGGACATGTTATTCTAAAGTTCAGGAGAAAGGTTGAGACTGGAAATACAGTCGTTGGTACATAATAGTGAAAGTTGAGGAGAGGAAAGCTAGTGTAGGGTGAGGTTAAGTGGAGACTGAAGAAGGAATAACTAAGACAAGAGCCAGTATGGAGCATAGAAGCATCACGTGCTATTGAGAGGTCACGGAAGAAATGCCTGGGAGGGCTTAGCATAGACAACCTTGATAACAGTAGTTTAATGTGTGCACAGACAGAATCATGATTTTTTATAGGTTAAGGAGAGAAAGTAGGGTCTGGGGAGGTGGCACAGTATGTAAGCGTGCTTGCTCTTCGAAGATGAGGACCTGAGTTCAAATCTCAGGCACTCAAAGGTTAGGTATGGGTGCATTTGCCTGTAATCTCAGCATCTCGGAGAACAGAAACACTCAGTTATACCCATATAGCCCCTCCCCCCACAGGAATGTGAGGTGCAGAAATAAGAACAGGATACCCACGAGGGAGGTTATGAGTTTAAGGGGAGAGTTTGCATGTTTATTGTGTGTGTGTGTGCATGTGGCTACCAGTGCATGTGTGTGCTTACATGTGGAGACTAGTTAATCTTAGGTGTAGTTTCTCCAAAGCTATCCACCTTGTTGAAGTAAGACCTTTCATTGACCTCAAAGTAGTAGGCTAATGGCTAGCTAGCAAGGTCCAAGAAGCCCTTAGTGCTGGGATCACTAACACTGTGCTCACTCTTGTTTTTTCATATAAGTTCTGGAGAGCAGACTCAGGCCCTCATGCTGGCCCTCATGTTTGCTCAATAAGCAGTTTACTGACTGAGATCTCTCAGCCTTCCCCCCTTTTTTTTTTTCAAAGGAGGGAAATTCTGAGCTAATGAGATGGCTCATCAGGTAAAAAGAACTTGTCACCAAGACTGCTGACCTGAGTTTGAACCTGGGATCCATACGGTGAAGAAGAGAACCAACCTCTTGAATTGTTATGGCACAAACACGAACCCAATAGATAAATATTATTTTACTTTTTTAAATAAATGCTCTCTCTTTTTGGCTTTTTGAGACAGGGTTTCCTGGAAGTCACTCTGTAGACCAGACTGGCTTCAAACTCACAGGAATTCACCTGACTGTCTCCTGAGTGCTGGGATTAAAGGTGTGCACTGTCTCTTCCTGGCAATAAATGCTCTTTTCAAAAGTCAAAACGTAGAGAACTTCTAGAGCAGGCTTGCTTGATGAGTATGAGAAACAAATAGTACAAGAAGTTTGTTTGAGGTGCAGAAGACAGCGGTCTACAGTCTTAGTAGAGATGGTCTTTCTTTTTTCCCGGCACAGGGTTACTCTGTATTATTTTGGAGACTGTCCTAGAACTCGCTCTGTAGACCAGGCTGGCCTGGAACTCACAGAGATCCGCCAGCCTCTGCCTCCCGAGTGCTGGGATTAAAGGCATGCGCCACCAACACCTGGCTGAGATTGTCTTACATAGATTTGCTGACACTCTTTTTTACACAGGGTTCTGTTGTGTAGTGTGGGCTGGCCTGGAGCTCTCAATGCTCCTGCTTTAGTCTCCCAAATGCTGGGATTATAGATGTGGATCACCATGTCCAGCCAATACTCATTTTTCTAAGCAGTTCTTAATTTTCTTTTTTCAGTTTTATGTGTATGAGTATTTTGCTTGCTATATGTCTCTGTACTACATATGGTGCTGGGAATTGAACCAGGGTCTTCTGGAAGAACAGTCAGTGCTCTTAACCACTGAGCCATCTCTCCAGCCCTAACTTTCTTTAATATTCTTATTTGGTAGAGTGGAAGACTGAGTTTTGATGAAGGAGAATCAAATTTATTTGTATTACATCATGCCCCAATAGCATCAGTAATTCAGATCCAATTTCCAGTTGAGTTTTTCAGTTTATGTTCTTTGAGATTAAAATATAATAAAATATTAATGAATGTGTTTCTCATCTCATCTTGGTGTTTGGTTGTAGGGACAGATTTGGAAGCATCTTTGCTAAGTTTTGAGAAACTTGACCGTGCCTCGCCTGATCTTTGGCCGGAACAATGTAAGTTTTTACTTTTCTCATATCAGATAGGTGCAGGAGTCAGTGCTCCCATGGGAGACTTTTGAAGAGCTATTGTGTATCTGTGATGATTAAAGTTTTTATTTCACTTCAGAGAGAAGAGATTGATGTGCAGTAAAAAGAGGGGCTTTTTGTGAGACAAGTGATAAGGAGCTTTTAAATAATTATAGTTTTAAAGCTACATTTGTAATAATTTCAGATATTTTTGAGATGCACAAAGCTTTTCCTCATCTCCTTAATACTACTAATAATTTTGTGCAGATCTCTTTGGAGTTTTTAATGCTTATACAGATACACATGCACACACACACACACACACACACACACACACGGGTGGGGGAGTTCATAATAATGAAGTCATATGTATAGAGCCTTCATCTTATTTTAAATAAATTAGTAATTCGATGTATCTTTCCATGTTGCTCTTTGTAGGTCTACTTTTTTCTTTTAAATATATTATAGTGGATATTCTAGTTTACATTCTGTTTGGAAACCTGTCATCTGGTTTTTATTTCATAGGCAACATATTAATGATTACATATATGTTCATTGTTATGTTTAACTTGCATTTCTTTTTTCATTTTTTAAAAATTAAATGACATTCATTTATGTATTGGGTAGGGGAGACCCATGTGGCATGATGTAGAGTATGGAAGCCAGAGGACAACTTATGGGAGTCAGCTGTATGCTTTTACCATGTCCCTGGGAATCCACAATTCAGGTTGTTGGGCTTGTGGCAAGTGCCTTTCCCTAGTGAGACGTCTAAACCAGCCCTAGTTTGTATTTCTTTTCTTTGGTTTTTCGAGACAGGGTTTCTCTGTATTGTTTTGGAGGCTGTCCTGGAACTCTCTCTGTAGACCAGGCTGGCCTCGAACTCAGGGATCCACCTGCCTCTGCCTCAAGAGTGCTGGGAGTAAAGGCGAGTGCCACCAATGCCCGACTACCTAGTTTGTATTTCTTAGTATAATTGAACATTATTTCACTTTATGTAATTTGTGGGGTTTTTTTGTTTTTGTTTGTTTGTTTGTTTTTGAGATAGGGTTTCTCTGTTAAACAATCCTGGCTGTCCTGGAACTCACGCTGTAAACCAGGCTGACCTGCCTCTGCCTCCCAAGTACTGGGATTAAAGACGTGTGTTACCACCATCCAACCTTTGCTTTTGCATTTTGATGTGATACTATATATGAGGCATTTGAGTATATAATTTGATTAATAGGACAACTGAAAAGGAAGTTTACTTTGCTTATTTTTATTTATTTGTTGTTCTGGGGATTAAACCCAGGGTCTTATGCATGTTAGACAAGCACTCTACCATTGTCTAAATCTCATTCCTGGAAAGGAAATTTAAACTTTCTGACAAGAGACAAGTTTACTATTCTCCAAGCCAAATCCTGGTTACTTAAAACACAAGGCATTGGTGCTCAGAGAAGCTTTTCCTGACTCATCATCTGATTTAGACTTCTATTTTTTGTCTTCCTATAACACCTAACATCAAATGCTAAAGCAGTGTTAGTGATTTCTAACTTGTCTTCCTCTATGTTGTAAGCTCCCAGAAGGTGGCAGGACTTTGGTGTTTTGGGATTGCTTACTTGCTTGAGACATGGTTTCTCTGTGTAGTCCTGGCTGTCCTAGAACTTACTTTGTAGACCAGGCTGACCTTGAACTCACAAAGATCCATCTTTCTGTCTCTGGAGTGCTAAGATTAAAGGTATATGTTACGACAGCCACCACCATCTGGTAAGACTTTGTTTTTTATTATTTAAATCCTCTATGCCTGAACCCACAAATGTTTCTTGCATGAATAACACTTTTTTGTTGTTGTTCTGTTTTCTTTTCTAGTACCAGGTGTTGCTGAATTTGCAGCTTCTTTCAAAAGTGTAAGTAATACCTTATGCCTATGGAAGTTTATCCAGTGTTTGCCCTTGGGTAAAAAGCTCAAATCTTTTTTTTTTTTTTTCCATTTTTTGAGACAGGGTTTCGCTGTGGCTTTGGAGGCTGTCCTGGAACTAGCTCTTGTAGACTAGGTTAGTCTTGAACTCACAGGGATCTGCCTGCCTCTGCCTCCCAAGTGCTAGGATTAAAGGCGTGCGCCACCACTGCCTGGCAAAAGCTCAAATCTTTATTTTCAAGAATAGTTCCATGGTCTTTTAATCATGTTTTGACTGTGGACCTTTAAATATGTTTATTATTACCACAGTTAACTGTTGATAGTCCCTCTGTTCAAATTCTGTATTTTGACATTCTGACCCCTGTCTATTAGCCTCTTTTCTCGGCTCAACTATATGTAATTTTGAAGCTTTTTCCCCCCCTTATTTGTGTGGGACTTGGTTTCCTCCTTTTATCATGTGGCTCCTGGGCTTTGATTCAGGTCATCAGGTTTAGCAGCAAGCTCACTTACCCATGGAGCCATCACTCTAGCCCAAGGTGATGTTTCTTAACCTTTGTTTGCATGGCAGAATTGTCAGTGTACATACAGCTGCAAATCTTTGGAAGTTTTTGTTTTGTTTAATTCCTTAGCTCTATTCTTGATATGCTGATTCAGTACATCAGGGAATGTCCAGGATTTGTTTTTTGCTCAGGGTAAAGGGGAAGATGATCTCACTGTGTAGCTGTCTAGTCACTGTTCTATTGCTATGAAGTGACCCTGTGACCAAGGCAACTTTAAAAAGAAGGTTTTTAATTGGGGGCTTGCTTATACTTTCAGAGATCATGATGCTAGGGGTCGGGAACATGGCAACAGGCAGTCAGGCATGGTGCTGAAGCTAAGAACTTAAATCTTATCCACAAGAAGCAGGGGGGAGAGCAAGAGAGACCACGTGTGGGCTTTTGAAACTTCAGAGCCAACTCTGGTGACACACCTCCTCCAACAAGACCACACTCCTAAACCTTCTCAAACAGTTCTACCAACTAGGGACTAAGTATTCAAATATACGTATGCTCTTACAGTGGCTGTTCTTGTCAAGCCACCACAGTAGCCCAAGCTGACTTTGAATTTACCATCCTTTTGCCTCAGCCTTTGCTCGGATTACAATTGTATCCCAACTATATCCACTAATATTTATTATTTTTTAGTTATCAGGGTGATTCTTATATGCAACTACACTTAAAAACGAGCTTTCATAATATAATGAGCTTATAAGATAATTTAAATGCTGCCGTTGGTGGCGCACGGCAGGCGGATCTCTGTGAGTTTGAGGCCATCCTGGTCTACAAAGAGTCCCAGGACAGCCAGGGGCTATACAGAGAAACTTTGTCTTGAAAACAAAAAACCATTGTGTAATGGTTAGCACTCTGGACTCTGAAAACAAAAAACGAAAACCAAACAAAAATGAATGATGAAATCTCAAGTGATGACCATTTTATTCTTTTTCTGATTCTTCTGTCAGAGGCTGTTACTGATCATTGTTTTAAAAATTCAGTTGGAGTCTTTGATAGTAATGGAATTTTTTTTAAAGATTCATTTATTATCACATATGTAGTGTTCTGCCTACATGCCAGAAGAGGGAACCAGATTAAATTGTAGATAGTTGTGAGCCACCATGTGGTTGCTGGGAATTGAACTCAGGACCTCTAGAAGAGCAGTCAATGCTCTTAATCTCTGAGCCATCTCTCCAGCCCCCAATAATGGAATTTTAAATAATTTCATTGCTGAACTAACTCATGGCTTGAATTAGTAATAGCAGCCACATCAAAGTTCAGCCAACACTACTTGAGGCCAACTTTAAAATTGAGCAGCAGGATTTTTTTTTAATATAAAAAATTTATTTTTCATTTTACATACCAACCCCAATTCTTCCTCTCTCCTCTTCCCCCACTCCCTCTCATTCACTCCTCATAGGGGGTAAGGCCTTCCTTCGGGAGTCAACAAAGTTTGACATGCCAAGTTGAGGCAGGACCAGGCCCCTCCCCCCTACCATCATGCTCCTGGGAGAGGTCATGGTGCCTAAAGTGAATTTTTGAATTAAAAGCTGAACCTAAATACCTGTTAGGGTTTTTTGTTGTTATTGTTGGTTTTTGGGTTTTCGAGTCAGGGTTTCTCTGTGGCTTTGGAGGCTGTCCTGGAACTAGCTATTGTAGACTAGGCTGACCTTGAACTCACAGAGATCCACCTGCCTCTGCCTCCCGAGTGCTGGGACTAAAGGCGTGCGCCACCAGTGCCCAGCTTACCTGGTTTTTAAGTTTTACTTATTTACATATTTTATGTATATGGGTATTTTGCCTGAATGTATGTCTTTATACCATATATGTGCTGGTGCCTGAAAAGGCCAGAAGAGGGCATCAGATCCCATGTGACCGAGGATACAGATAGTTGTGGGTACTGGGAATCAAACCTGGGTCCTCTAGAACAGTCAGTGCTCTTGCCTGCTGAGCTACCTCTCCATTCAGAAAACCTGAATTTTTCAGAGTGTAGTTTGCCAGGAGTTTGAATCTGAAGACTGTGTGACAAACTGCATTCTCATGGGAAGGATGTTCCTGAATGGATGTATTCTTATTTTCTGACAGCCCATCACTAGCTCTCCACCCAAATGGATGGCTGAAATAGAGCGTGACGACATCGATATGTTGAAAGGTATGTGATGCTGGTGTCTTCTATCTTTGGTTTTGGGTTTGGTTTGGTTTTTTGAGACAGGGTTTCTCTGTATAGCTCTGGCTGTCATAGAACTTACTTTCTAGACCAGGCTGGTCTCAGACTCAGAGATCCGCCCTCCTGCTGCAGTCTCCCGAGTGCTGGGATTAAATGCTGTGCCACCACTGCTTGGCTTGTTTCTGTTTTTAATGTGGTCTCATCCCGTTGCTCAGTTTGGTTCCTGAGTTGATGAGTCCAACTCATCCTCTAGCTCAGCCTCCTAAGTGTCTGCAGAGGACTGCAGACAGCCGCCAAACCTTGTCCTCTAACTTGTCCTGTCCTATTACATCTTCCCACAAACCACTGCAGTTTTCCGTCACTACTTCCTGACGAGACAAGGTTCCTTCACATTATTCTTTTTAATGTGGACTTAATTTTGTGTAATGCTTACAGTAGACAGAAAAAAAAACCTTACATAAATTTCTCACTAACTTATAAAGGCCCTGTTAGGTATAATACTAATTATGCCTGGGTTTAGAGATAAAATGGCTAGTATTTATAAAATTTAAATTCTGATCTTCTACGGGTGTTGGTGGCGCACACCTTTAATCCCAGCACTCGGGAGGCAGAGGCAGGCGGATCTCTGTGAGTTCGAGGCCAGGCTGGACTGACAGCCTCCAAAACAATACCAAAAAAACAAAAAAAAAAAAAATCCTATAAATAAGGCACTTCTATTATAGTGAAGACTAAACTTTAGAAGATCAGAATTTTTTTTTTGTTCTGTATTCTTTTTTTTTTCTTTTTGGTTTTACGAGACAGGGTTTCTCTGTGTAGCTTTGGAGCCTATTCTGGCACTTGCTCTGTAAACCAGACTGACATTGAACTCACAGAGATCCGTCTGCCTCTGTCTCCCAAATGCTGGGATTAAAGGCGTGTGCCACCAATGCCCGGCTAATTTAAGATATAAAGATATAAGATTTAAAGATATATATTGTCCTTGTTAGTACTTTAAAATGACAACCCCTTAGTGCAGTGGTTTTCAACCTGTGGGATGTGGCCCCCCCTTGGGGATCTAACTACGCCTCACAGGGTCCCATATCAAATATCCTGCCTATCAGACATTTACATTATGATTCATAACAGTAGCAAAATTATAGTCATACAGTAGCAATAAAATAATTTTATAGTTGGGATCACTACAACATGAGGAACTGTATTAAAGGGTCACAGCTTTAGGAAGGTTGAGACTCCCTGCCTTAGTTGATTAAGACTAATCTTTTATTTCTTTCTGTCCTTTCAACTTCTTCCATCAAGTATTCTATGAGCAGTGAATACTGTTGCTTGATAAATGATTTGGAGTTCAATGAAAATAGAAATTTAAATTAAAAAATTAATTTTATGATTTTGCCTTTAACAAAATCATTCTTACAATATTCAGATTCATGGCGGTTGTAAGGAATAGACTGAAATTAAGATAAAAAATCAGAGATTCTTGAGCTATTTAAGCAGCTGAACTAGTCAAGAGAGTCACATATGGTTGATTCAGGTAAGACTGCAGGATGATGATAACTGGAAGACTAGAACTCCTTTATGTGATTTCAGAAGTAAATGACTGTCTACATGTTTAAATGCTGATTCCCTCCCCTACCATGGAAAAATTATCTCAAAGGCATCTTAGATTCATTGTCCTGATATTCCAAAACTATTTATGTAATAAATAATAAGCATGTATTTCCTAAGAAAACTTCAAATTTTTAGTGAGAGTTCACATAGCATTATGTTTCATGTAAAGTGACCTCTATTTTAAACAAGGATTTAGGTGCTATTTAATGAAAATCTGGGGAGTAACCTTTATTTTAAGTAAAATTAATTGTAAATAAAATAAGCAAAAATTGAATTTGAAGGGAAAGTTCAGATTTCTATTTAGTTTTTGTTTTCTATAGTTGGGGACACAGGGACCAGTGTTTTGTTGCTATTATTGCTCCTATATTTGGTTGAAATTATGGGGCTTATAAATGGAGACAACATCTGTTTTACATGACCAAGATGTGTCTGCAGGGTTTTCTCAGTGACATCTCACATTGAAAGTCTTCCTATTTTAGTGGTGTGTTCATTTTGTATGATAGGCAGAAATGAATGCTATAAACAGAACTCTGGGTAAAAGCCTTGGGCAGGTGAGATGACTCAGCTGTAAAAGTACATGCCACCAAGCCTGACAACTGGAGTTTGCTCTCTAGAACCCACATGCTAGAAGGGAAGAATCCATCAAATTGTCCTCTGATAGCCATGTAGTAATGTGCCCAAACATACATTAAAATTTTAAAAATGTAAAATAAATATTTTAAAGCACACTTAATTTGTTGAGTATAATGCTGAGTTTTTTTTTTTTTGCAGTGGTAGGAAATGTCACTGTTTTCGCTGAAGAATGTATAAAATTGTAGGAAAAGAAATAAAGGATCTGTATTTAATCAATAAGGAACTTAAGCTTGAAATCTTCCTTACTCTCTCATTGTTCTGGTGATCAAATCCAGGACTTCCTACATGCTAGACAGGCGTTCTAACATTCAGCCATAACCCCACCCCAGGCAGAAACCTTTTATTACTAGAACTATCAACCAAATCAATTGTTACTTGAGACCAGTGGAAAGAAGTGATACTGAAATAAAGTCTTCTATTTCAGAACTAGGGAGCCTCACCACAGCTAATTTGATGGAGAAGGTACGAGGCCTCCAGAACCTGGCCTATCAGCTGGGGCTGGATGAGTGTGAGTACCCAATTAATTTTATACAAGGTTACATGTTGTATATTTCACAAAGAGTTCTATTTATAACTCATGAAAATATACTTTTCATTTTACCAAGGCAAAGACAAGCCATCTGAAGGTAGGAACTCGGTGTGACTTTGTGCTTTTTATGACAGAATGTGCTAGTCTTTTGATTGGACTTAAAAGGTGAAAAACTCTTTGTGCAATACACATCTTTTAGAACTTTTTTCTTTTAAGTGCTAGGACATCAACTAAAACTAGCTCGATCTAAAGAGAGACTTTGTTAGCTTGCATTCAGTTATTAAAGTCTAAGGCTAGAAATAGCTTTGAGGTTATCTAGGTCTGTGACCATAATGATGTCATTGGTGGTGGTTTTTTTCTTGCTGTTGTGTATCCAGGCTCCACTTTACGTTCCATTAGTCCTAGAGTCTTTGCTGCTGCCAATAGCTTTTTCTCAGCCCTGGGAAAGGTGAGCAAAAAGATACCCAATTTGTCTTTTTGAATATCATGATCCCAAGGGAAGGAAGAGTGTATTTCTGGGAAAGACTTTAGCTGTGCTGTACCATTGCACACACTTGCATGGCAGAGTCAGAGGACAGCTTGGGAGAGCTGATTCTCTGCGTTGCTTGGGTTCCGAGGAACTTGAACTCAGGCAGTGTGTTCTCTTACCCACTGAGCCATCTTTACTGCCAAGTATTTGTATTTTTAAGAGCTGTAACATGGGATTGGATTAGCCGCCGTCAACTAACCCAGCCATCTTAATCACTGAGCTGAAGCTGACAACAAAGACTGTTCCTGCCAGTGTGGGCAGGAGTGCTCAGTAGAAACAGACTGTGATACTTCATAATTTAGCTGTCTCAGCTTCTGTAGCAGGACTCTGTAACTTACTGCCATTTCCTTGGTCATAGGGAATTTATATGAGGTAAGAAAATATTTTAAGTTAGAAATTGAAATAACATTGATATGTATTGGATTTCTTGGATACAACCTCTTTGTTTTAGTGTGCACAGTGTATTTTCATAAAAACATCTTTTTTGTCCTCTTAGATTATTCATCTACTCTAAGTGTTGTCTTTCATGTGATACCTTAATCTGGTATTTCGAGGTCTCGGTATTTTGTTCCTGCATTATTTGAAAGGATGACATGTAAAAAATAAGCAGTAGGACTTGATGAATCCCAGGGGACTAATGATACCATTTTCATGCAAATATCCGCCTTGATAAAGATGATGAGATGAAAAAAGTGCAGAAAATATTTAGCCTCAAAACATGATTGTCATTTTCACAGTATTGTTAAATGTTAGTATTGGAATAACAAGAGCCTTCTAGGACTGTTAGTAACTAGATTGTATCTTGGGTGAACTTTATGTTACCCTTTGATTTGGTACATGGTTGTATGTCAGATAACTTTTTTGGCGCACAGATTTTAGAATATAACTTTTATAGATTTGTTTAATTTTTAAGGTACTTTTTACCATTCTTGGAAATTTGTTTTAGCCCTTGGGTTAAATGTAACTTTTCAAGATAAAAGTCATTTTTTAGACTAGCTTTGTAGTCTTTGGATCAACTGACATTAGCAAGTTTGCAGTGTGTAAACATTTGCCAGTGGAATGAATGAATGGTCAGTTATTGATGCCCCTAGATGGAATGACACATTATGTCTAATGAAGCTCATTGACTTAAAAGTGAAAGGATAAAAGCTTCTGAAAATTGCTCTAGTTTTAGGTAATTGGTGTTTTAGTGATGGGAAGTAATGTTTGAAGAGCGCATGATATTTCCTTCTCTTGTAGCATGATTATAGAGTACATATAACGTGAAGTGTGTTAATTGTTTGACTGTATGTGCTTGAACCCTGCCTCATTACCATGATGATGTGGGTGGGATGCTGACTTAGCCCTGTGAATTGCAACAGTAGGTTGTTGCCTTTATTCTTGAGACTCATTTAATTGTAGTGAATTCTACTACTGATTCTCTGCAGTTTTTACCCTTTTTTTATTTTATTTTTCTTCATTCTGAAGGTGACAAGTTTTTCAGTAGTCAAGTAAACATCTTACTTATTGAGCACCACTAACTTGGAAATAACTGAAAATAGGCTGTAAAACTTTGGAAAACTGGGACCATGTCTTTGCAACTAGAGCTAAACCTTGAGCCTCTGATGTATTTGTTTTTACTGCAACAACTTTATTGAGCTCCTGTTCATATTCCTGTAATTCACCTATTTATACTGAACAATTCAGTTCTCAACACAGTCAAGTCTATCACCCCAAAACCATGGGCACATTTGCCTTACTCTTCTCACGCTCCTGGCGGCTTAGCCACCATTAATCTGTTTGATGTCAGCATAGATTTGCCTAGTTTGGAATCATGTAGTGTGTGTGTGTGTGTGTGTGTGTGTGTGTGTGTGTGTGTGTGTGTGTGTGTGTGTGTGTGTGTATATATATATATATATATATATATATATATATATATATATAGTCTCTGTGACTGGAGTCTCATTTGATTTTTCTCTCTCATCTTCATTGTCTCTTATTTGAAGTGCTGGGTATCAGACCCAGAGCCTGCACACTACTAGATCACTCCAGCCCTGAATTCTTTTACTGAAATAGTATTTTCAGTGTTCAGCTGTGTTATAGAATGTCAATTCCTCCTTTTGTATGTGCAAATAATATTTCTTTGGGTAGGTATATCACATTGTATTTATCACCAATTGAGAGGCATTAGATTGTTACTACTATTAGACTTGATGGACAATGCTGCTCTGATAAGCCATGTATAAGTTTTTGTATAGACATGCATTTTCATTCTCCTGTGTTTATAACCAGGGTCATATGGTAGCACTGTATCTTGCTTTTTTGGTTTTAGGAGACAGGGTTTCTATGTATAGCCCTGGCTGTCTTGGAACTCACTCTGTAGACCAGGCTGCACTTGATTCCACAGAAACCTTATATTATATAGTGTAAGTTTTAGTGGTTGTACCAAAGAAAAACCAATGCTTCCAAACTCTTCTATGAGGACTCTCTAGGCATGTACTTTTGAAAAGTAACTAATTACATTGAGAAATTACTCCCCATCTATATTTTTTGCTTGTGGAAGAGGATGTTGCTGTATAGCCCAGGCTGGCTTTGAACTCATGGTGATCTTCCTACTTGGAGTTCCTAAGTGTTGGGATTTACAGGCATGGACATCTAGCTCTAAATAAATCTAATAGAGAGTTAGCTCTGTTGAGTTCTACTTTTAGTCTGTGCCTGAAGGAGAGAATAACTGTGACCATACTCTAGGTGTTCTTTGTGCCCTGGTGTCAAGGTTCTTTGTCTGGCTTTTATAATAAGGCCTGGTTAGTAACCTCTGTGTCTGTAACAAATTATTAGTCCTTAGTGAAGGAGAGAATTCATCTTACATGTGACCTCTAGGTGGCAGCATAAGTCTTACAGTACTTCTAATTCTGGCATACTGCTTGAAGTAGGTTTCTGGTGTGGGTAAAACCAGTATTTTGTGTGCTTAACTTTCTCCCTCCTTCCTTTCCTTCCTTCCTTCCTTCCTTCCTTCCTTCCTTCCTTCCTTCCTTCCTTCCTTCCTTCCTTCCTGCCTTCCTGCCTTCCTGCCTTCCTGCCTTCCTTCCTTCCTTCCTTTCTCCTTCCTTCCTCTCCCCCCTCTCCCTCCCTACTTCCCTCCCCCCTTTCTGAGACAGGGTCTCTGTATGTGGCTGTCCTGGAACTCATTATGTAGACCACACTGGCCTCAAACTCACAGGCCTGCCTCTGCCTCCTGGGTTCAGGGATTAAAGTCTGTGCCAATATAGCTTGCCTTTCAGCTTCTCTCTCCCCTTCCCCCCCCCACTGTCCTGGAACTCACTCTGTAGACCAGGTTGACCTCAATCTCACAGAGATCCACCTGCCTCTGCCTCCCAAGTGCTGGGATTAAAGGTGTGCGCCACCATCAGCCTCTACCTCCAGGCCAGAAATGATTTCCTAAAACAACAGACACTATGTTTACTTTCCTCTTTTTCTACCACTGAAGGTTTTTAATAGGTCACATACTCATAGGAGGCACTGGTTGATACAGGGTGGAGTGAATTTTGAGAGACCAGAGGCAGGTAGTTAAGGGGGGTGCCAGTGAGAATGGAGGAGAGAGCAGTTGGAGAGTGCATCCTCTAGTTTTGTAATATTCAAGAATGGGCAGATGCCTGGGTACGTGCGAAATTAGCGTTTCTCATGCTATGGTTTTTGTTTTGTTTGAGGCAGTCTCATGTAACCCAGGCTGACCTTAAACTCACTATGCAGTCATGGATGATCTTGAACTTTATTTTCCTGCCTCTACATATTGGTAGTGGGATCTCAGATATGACCACCATGCCCAGTTAGAGTATGTGAAGCTGGACATTGCACTTAAGGCCTTGTGTGTGCTAGGCAAACGCTGTGTCAAATGAGCCATGTCCCCTGTCCCCCATGCTGTTGATGATAGGGAAGTGAGAAAGGGAGATAAGATACTTGATTAACAACAAGAACAAAACCATCTGATTCTTTGCTATGCCTTTCTGTAGGCAAAACACCTTTTATTTTTACTTTTCGAAATAAGTAAAAGTTATGTTTTCAAAATGGATTTTACTATTAGTATGAAGCAATGATCTTGTATAGTTGAGTCTCACCAGGTGAAAAACAAATAATACTTCAGATGGATATAGTAAGCCCTTTACATATATGATAGATAACTCTTTGCTAACCAGTAAAGGTTTTGGAAATTTAAATTTGAAGAATTAACTGGCACCAAGAAAATTGCTTTTGTTGCATAGCTATCTTTAGATTAAATTTCCACCAGGTTAGTTCATTTCAAGAATGAAGACCACCATTTTGTGTGTAGCTAGGGAATATGTGGCTATCTTATCTTCCAGAAGGGTGCTTCCCACCTCTCCTTCCTTCTAAAACCAAGAATTAGAATTTTTTCATTGTTGATTTGGTAGGGAAAAAGCAACTGTGAAAGTGAGTTTCATTTTCGCATATATTG